GACTCGTGCCTCTGAACACTATAGATTGATTCACAAATTTATCAATTCTGAAAACTCCAATACTACTCCTTCTTTTGCCAACCATATCATTGATTCAAACCATAGTTTTAATGTTAATTCTAATATGGAAATCATTCATGTTTGCAATAAGGGTCCACGTTTAAACCTCCTTGAGATTTTAGAAATTCAAAACCCGGAAATCAACTGTTTAAATGACCAGACTAATTTTGATCGTAATCATATTTTTCGTACTTTACATTTCTCTCAATTTTCATCACAGTATTTCCTGTGCTCATTAGATTGACACAAGTTTGGTTCGTCTTCTTCTCCATTTCATCATGAATAGTTCATCTTCATTCATTCATTGGCTTTTCTTATTACCGTTCCTCGCGTGTCTCTGTCATCAACCCAAAAAATGTTTATATATTTTCATATTGTTATCGGATGTTTATATAATTTACGGATTTTCATTATCAAGTGTCTTTTGGGTGTAGAGCTCCATTTTTCATATAATTGATTGTCATTCAAATATTTTCATTCTGTGTTTGAAATTGCCAATATTGTCTTGTCAATGTCAAATTACCACTTTCAATTTTTACATTTCTGTGTCTTTCCTTTGATGGTTTGATTCAGTCAGATGAAGTTCACTTGAGTAGATTTCCATTTAATTAGTTTCCTTGATGTTGAACTTACTGATTGTAATGTTCTTTTGGCTTTTCAGCCGTTACAAATGTTGCTGATTGTGAGGCTGGACTGATTATTTTTATAACGATTTACTGATAAAAATGTTTCTATTGTTAAGATGTTTCTCCACATATAACAGGTATGTCATATCTTTCTCAGCCACCATTTTGTTCAACAACTGTATTTATTACACTTTCTAGATACTTTTTAATTTGTGTCTGAAGATGGCCGTAGAGCCGAAACTATAGTAACACACTGCTTATATATAATTTTGATATTAAATATTGTGGTCGACCGACTTTGAGTTCGTTTTTCTCCTGTTGAATAAGCAATGCGTTATTTTTCGGCAACCGTCCGGGAACTGCTCACTTACCGGACGTTTCTTCTGTGAGAAAGTATAGTGTTTTTCCGGCATAGTACGGAAAGTACGTACTTCTCGGACTAGGCCAAGAAGTATCACTTGGTTGTTGTCACTGTAACTATAAAGATCTTGGTTGATATAGTTTTGATAAATGCAGATGATAGAAGTGAAAGCAATAAGTCTCAAAGTCCGTCGACAAGAAAATATTTTTTAATAAGTAGTTTAACTAGTTCCAGCCACAGGCCATCATCAGACAAAAAAATGATGTATTCGGAAGTACCTAAAAGATAATTATGGACATTGTTGAGAGCAAAAAATTAAATCAAAAGCGTAGGTCGAATTTCACAATATCAGTCCTGAATTAAAAATAGGTTTAAATCTGGAAAAAGTCCAGTAAAACCAGATCAGCATTATTTATTGAAGAACATTGGCACAATTTATCAAAAACGTTAAAAACTTCTCTCACGTGAGATTCATTCGCAGGTTATGCAAAATGCAAATGGAAGCTACAACGGAATTCGAAGAACCAGAAACATCATAAATCACATGAAAAGTAAAACATAACAAAGAACAAGTGACACAAGTCAATTTCAAATATGATAAAACTAATAAGACATTATCAAGAACCAGATAAAAATTTAGAAAGCAATGGGAACAAGAGATTGGGAGAAGAACAACAAAAGACCAATTATGTTTTGATGCTATGATCATTGGAATTCTACACACTATAGGACAAAAAATCAAGCAAATTCAAAATTGATCATTAAATACAGGTGAAATTGGGATTATTTATACATTTTTGAATTTCCAGAATTTCCAATAGGTTCAACCTAGAGCCTTATCTATTACAGATGTGGAGAAAATCAATGTTGTGAGATATATTGAAATTATGATTAGATTCAATTATATGGTTTGAGAAAGAGAAAGAGGAGCTAGTGTTGAAATTATCAATGTTCCTATTCCTATTTATCAATCTGTTACATATGTTCAGAGGCTCTAATTTCGAAACTTCGCCCAGTTTGACCGACATAGGAAGAGTTGCAATAACTCCAGATTTTTTAGAAGATGCAGATGATCACCATTGCAGCGAAATAACAGCTGACAGCTATTAGCCATGAAAGTTGAAATTTTGATTTTTGAAATTTTTTGCAATTATCCCAATAAACTATCAAGAGCAGCAGCGATAGTGAGTTTGAAAATGTCCATTTCGAAATTTCGAATGTATATAGCTGTTAGAAGGTATATAGGCAATCTGTTCAAATTTCAGTATTTGATTTAGTATACCATATTATTTCAGTTCTCGGTCACCAAAGTAACGTAGATACGAAAGTAAATATGTTTTCCAATTGGCTTTTTATATAGACACTTAGGCTGTGTCAAGTCATTCGTTCGGCCACAGTGGTGATACCAGAATGGTCAAAGGTGGACTCGACCCCCTTCAAAAGTTAGCGTGGTAACGTTGTGGGCAGGTTTGAAACGTGACCGATATTCCCAAACAGCCGGTTGGTCAGACTGATGGTCAGACTTCATACTGAACGTATGTGTCCGGTCAAACCACAGACCTGACACAGCCTTAACAAGCATAAAAGATGTAGCATTTCGAAGCAACATCGACACTTATACAAATACTCCTGTATACGTCTAATCTTCGGCAATGGAAGTAAAATACATGCCACTCCTTTTATTACTGAAATTGAATGATGGCTCAAAATGTATAACAGACGACAACTCCATCAGGTATGTTTTTTGCATAAACTAATCCTCAAAAAAACTTCTTTTTATCTGATAAAAAAACTTCTACCCAGAAATCAAATACACATCAGCAGACATCTGCGAATCACCGATACTCTGTTCCAAATCACTCTACCAACGATCATTCTTATATCAAGCCGTCACTATTGCTATTGTTAGTATCGTTATTATCATTATAGTAATTATTGTTATTATTATTATTAATAATGATGTATACAAGAATGTACTTGATATTTCTAACCTGGTTGAGTGGAAGAGTAGCCTTGCCAAACTCCGCCAGGATAAATAAAGACAATTTATTATTATTATTATTACATGTCTTGGCTGGTTTCCTTGCAGCGGCATCAAATCTTGTGCTTTTCTGTCTCGAAAAACAAATGACTTTTTTCTAAACGAACGTCAAAAAATGACAAGAATCGGGCACTGCATGTAAAAAAATGAGATTTTTATATTTTTACCATTATGGTCCTGATTCAAACAAAAATCCATGAAATCATTTCTATTTCTGAATTTTTAACAATGATTAAGGCTTCTTGCGTGAGTTCAACATAATTTTTTTATATATTGAGCAAAGCATATCACTTATTTTAGGCCAATGTTTCTTGACGTTTGAAAAAAATGTGTGTTTGCGAAATAATACTCTGGTGGTCTCCACTATATTTTTCAAACTCGGCTTGGCCTCGTTAAAAAACAGTTCTCGTCTTTTTATCTGTCTCAAAAATTCAATGATATTTTGCTGAAGTTCATTAATATCGACTGGCACAATTTTATAAACTATATTTTTCATATTGTGCCGCATAAAAATCAGTCCATCAAGTATAAGCCTGGTGTATAGGTTTCCAAGAATTTTCGAGTTTTTCCATGCCTTCATATCAATTGCATTCTTTTGTGGAATCCATCCATCTAATTCCCAAGTATTTCGTCACGTCCACATTTCAAATAGAAAATATCATTTTTCTGCAGAAAATCTAGTCAATAAAATTTTACAACACCACATTCAGTAGCCTACAAATTATGATACTATAAAACGAAAGTGGACCATAAAGCTATAAAATCATAAATACTTTCTTCTCTGGTGCCATAATGATCCACTAATATCACCAATATCTTTAGTTGTGCTCGCCATAAGATGGCTATGAATAATAATTTTAAATTTATATTGGAGTAATATGAAGCAATACACATGATTTATGATTGATCTACCAATGAAATTGACAAATCAAATTAATTTCTAAGATTCAGGATTGAAATACCTAGGAATCTATGCCCAGCACAGAGGAACAGTGTTTATGGCCATCTGAGCCTCAACAGCTTCTGTAACTAATCAGCAAGAAGTTTTATTGACCAATTTTCTTCGACTGTGACAATTATTTCGTTACAGTTGCATGTTTACCAGGTATTGTTTACTCAAAGATACTTCTATTTTGCCGACATTGGTCATAAAACTGTCGACACATTGTTTGAATTATTGCTGCCGTTTCGCATTGTATGTGCACTATGATGTGCATAGATGTGTATCTATACCTTTTTAGTTTGTAGGTACCTCTTTAAAGTGTTCATGGGAATAGAGATGAACAGAAATTAAAATAAATATCTGGAAAAATGGTTCTCAAGACAACACAGAACCACAGAAATCACTAATTGGTCGATTGATTACCTATCAATCTCGACTTAAAACTGTAAAGAAAAATTATTCGATATTCGTTATTTTACCGCCATCATCCGCCATATAGACATTCTATGCCGAGTTTCAGGAACAAAAAACAAAGCTTTACCTCACATAATATCTTGTAACTGACTGCCATCTATGATGTAGTCTCGAATCATCTCTCACACTGTTACTCTTGAATCGGCGATACAGATTTCTGTATACGAAGACAATAAAAGGTAACTAACATGCAAACTAACATCAGAGATTTAACATAGTGACCTGCAGGAAATCTTTGATGGCAATTTGAACTGCCAACACAAAAAATTGAAAAATTACTAGTTTCCTGATTATCGTTTTTCATTCAAATCACAGCGCGCAATGCGCAAAACATGAATCGGCTAGGGCCCAGGGAAAATCAATAGATTTCCATACATTTTCTTGTACAATGTGAAACAAGAAGAAAACCCATGTGTGTAGGTCCTGAAATAATCGATATTCTAAACTTCGCAGTTAAAACATGGAATAACCGAGGCGTTTTTAGTGGTTTTCACCATGCCTAAAAAGTTTGATTTCACTGTGATTTATGCAACAAGTAATTATGTGATAATCTTTACTGATGAAATATTTCACCTATATTTTTACTTCTGATTTACAGGTGAAGATCCGAAATATAGATTCACAGAATTGAATACACACAGTCCCATAATAAAAGGTTGGAAGTCAGAAAAGAACTGTGATTACCCACAGGAGATAATTTTACAGCTAGAAAAGAGGTGTATTTTGAATAAAATTCAGATCTTGGCTCATCAATACTTGATACGTAAGTATAGATACTCACTTTTACATTGAATATTTCCTCAAACCCAATTTCAGCATCAAAAATTGAACTATTTCTAAGCAATGAAGACACAAATGTCATGGAGGATGTGACTAATATAAACTGGGATTATTTGGGGTACATAACCTTATCCACTAATGAAAGTACTGAGTTCAAAAGCAGGGAACTCAAATCTGCTAATGTCCCCAAAAATCTTGTCACTTATGTAAAGTTAAACCTGCATACAAATCACTTCAATTCTCACAACAAGCTCAACCAGGTATAATGAATGGTTAATATTGTTGGTGGTAGTCTCTCATGTTATCTGTTGAATTTTTAGGTTAGCCTTATAGCAGTAAACACTCTGGGTTCCCATATAGAAAACAGACGTTCTTCTATCAGTGAGACAGAGGATGAAGCAAAATTATATGATATTATGAACAACCCAGAGTATTTTTCGCCTTATGATGATCTAGCCTTTTTAATGTATGTGGATGTAGATATTGCTAAAATAATAAAAGAGATGGAAGTGAAGAAGCACTTGGCTGTGATAAGTATATGAATAACTCATGAGATGAGTGAGTTGAATCATGAATCATTGATGTTTTTTTAGGAGAACGCTTTGAATATGCTAGGAAACTAAAGAATGCCATGGTGAAACTTAGAGTAGCTGGTGAAAAGCTAGGGAAATATGAGCTAGAGAAACACCATGCTATTGAAATTGAGGATTATGAACGAGCCAGGCACAAGAAAAACCAAATGGATCAGTTCAGAGCTGAAATATATGAGGAATTATGTGTTGAACAGCTGATGGAACAAAATGGAGTAAGTACCAGATCAATTTCAAAATAATTCACCATAATAGGGATAATTAAGATTTTGTTCTTTCTGATTGAATATTTCAAATTTGGTACTCATGAATGATAGATTTTGTGCTACTGCCACAATATTGAATTTACCCAACATCCAATAACATCCCAACAATAGTGAAAAATACACTCATAGAAAATACTCACCATATTCATTGTAGTTATCCATTCAACTACTGGCCTCGTCACTGACACAGGTATATATTATATAATAGCATAATTATATTGTCTTTCATATCATTTCATAATTCAAAATTCAAAATCAATTCATCATCAAACACCTACACATTTTATAACAAAACGGAAATGAAAATTATAATCTGTCAAGAAGTGACAATTGAAGTAATTTTTTGTTCCAAGTGACTAGTGCTCCACCCGACCGGCACCCTATTATTTTCTTCAGAGTTCCACTTCAATTATCTCCTGAACCAAAAATGTTTGACATTTTTTATTGAACTAAATTGAATAACTATTGATTTACTTTGAAAAACATCTGATTCTGGATACGTTCTAGAAACGAATAACGAATGATCCCAATTGAAAAATGTATGAACAGACCGTACAAAGTAGTAGTCACTTCCGTTTTTTTTATTATGCCATCTGTCGGTGGTTTGTGAAAGCTGTTCAAGTGTGGGTACCCATTTTGTGAGTTGTGCAGTTATAATATTTTGTTAATTAATTCCTGATGTTTATGAATTTTGTTGTTATATACCTGAATAGGTAGGTTGGGTAGATCAGGTACTATAATATAGATTATAGGGTAGATCAGGTACTATAATATAGATTATAGAGTATTTTATAGACCACCAATATAATCAAATGAATCTTTACCATATTGAAAAAAACCTGTTGTTGGAATTATCTGCATTCCTTTTCCAATCTGAACATAATCACCATGAGCTATAATCAACACTAGATATTTGGCAAATCCAGAGTCAAAACCAAAGCAACAAGTTCAGAATACTAAATCACAAAATTGAATAAGTGCTAGTGTTCAAATTATTGCCGTAAGGTGGTGCTACTTATAGTTTCCGATTTTCGAAAGCATCTCATTTATAATCTGGAATCTGGTTGATTAGTTTCTTCATATGATTTCAAACCAATAAGAACGTTCAATCTAGCTAATAAGCTGTGTGTCAGACATTAGTTTGCTGGGATAAACCATAAAAATGCATAAAAATTCTGGAGATATAATATATAGGTATATATAGTTATTGTGATACTACAATATGAGATTATTTGGGACATGTGAGCCGTTTTGGCCGATACTGAATAGTTTCGACACAAACAAATCCTTAAGTTGAAAAATCTCGATTTTGAACATCCTATATCTCTGTAATCTCAACTCTCCAGGGAGAATCTAAAAATGCAATGATATACAGGGTATTCTATTTGAAATAACAAAGTTGTTGCTACTTTTCGATAGAAGCGGCAACACTGCATTGCTGAAATTATTTTAAATGAAAAGAGCGTATTCTGAAATACAAGCATGCATATTTTCAGGGATTTCTCCCGACTGATTCTCAATATAGAGATATAGTGTGAGCTCGTCGTGACATACCATATGTACGTTCTTTATATAGGTTTGGAAAAAGCTTTAGAAATCCCGTTGGTATACAGGGTGTCAAGTGAAGACCACGTCAAACCTAGGGAGAATGTAGATCAAAGGATATAACCCACCTGCATATGACAAAATTTTCATTATAAAAGTCTTACCGTGCTCGAGATTTTTTTGTTGTTGAAAAAAATCCACTACCTAAGTTTTCAATAAAACTACTTCTCACAGCCCCCCTTTAGAATGTTCGGAGAATGTTTTTCATGTATACGTTAAAATTGTACCAACCGTACAGACAAAACTATTGAAAGGGGCAAAAATTCCATATTTTCAAAAACAAAATATCTCGTAAAACGGTAAGACTTTTATAAAAGGGAATTTTGTCAAAGCAGGTGAGTTATCCTTTGATCTACATTCTCCCTGGATTTGACGTGGTCTTTACGGGACACCCTGTACATATTCTTATTCTTCCCAGATTTGTTCCACAAACGATGAATGTTCAGACGAGCCAGATTCCGCCCACAAGAACCTGCTGTCCCCCGTGCTGCCGAAAGGGCGCTGCCCGTCCCCCCATCAGCCCCACGCCAGCTCCGCCTCCCCCGTTCACGTGCCCCGATTCAGCAGCCCCAAGACGGGGTCGCCGAGCACCGGCAGTCCCACGAGCTTGCAGAACAGGGGTTCATTCAGGTAATTTTTCGGTCAGATGACGAACCATGTTTTCCGGAATTTTCCTTCATTTCTTGCATATTTTGTAGCGTAATCTAACAAATTATCCCATTGTCCTCAAGCTAGTTGTTGAAAAAATCAATTCAAAAATGATTAATAATGAAATTTTTTTCAAGATCCTTTCGGCAATCTTTTCAAATGGTCGCACACGGAAGAAATTTAAATGCAGACAACAACTTGCAAACAAAACAACGACATGGTTCAATAAATGGCGACTGAAACCAAATCCAAGGAAGTCACATTTAGTAATATTTTTCCATTCGGCATCACCTGCATGACCATGAACTAATTAAGATCTGAAAATGATACAAAATACCTAGGAATTGATATGGATCACAAAAACAACTTTAGTGTACATACTGGAAATGTGAAAAGGAAAACCATATCAAAAGTCAAGAGCAAAACATGTTGCTAGGCTAGTTGTTGAAAAAATCAATTCAAAAATGATTAATAATCGAAATTTTTTTCAAGATCCTTTCGGCAATCTTTTCAAATGGTCGCACACGGAAGAAATTTGAATGCAGACATTGAAAAACTCCAACAATTTGCAAACAAAACAACGACATGGTTCAATAAATGGCGACTGAAACCAAATCCAAGGAAGTCACATTTAGTAATATTTTTCCATTCGGCATCACCTGCATGACCATGAACTAATTAAGATCTGAAAATGATACAAAATACCTAGGAATTGATATGGATCACAAAAACAACTTCAGTGTACATACTGGAAATGTGAAAAGGAAAACCATATCAAGAGCAAAACATTTTCAATGAATGTCAAAAAAAGAACATGGCATCAACTTACAAAAACTCTAAAATTTACAAAATGAGTTGCAGACCACTGCTTGAATATGGACATATAATTTTCCAGAACTTGAGAAATCCTGCCTTTAAAAATCTCAAACTAGCTGAAACAACTGCTCTACGTATCATTACCAGAATAAGATATCCTAACAATCTCATCCACAATCCACCCAATGAACTACTGTATGAAACAAGTTCTCTGTGTGATTGTGCCTACTGCATGGAAATTTAAACAGAGGTGACGTCAGATTTGCTACAGTGTAGAAAAAGAGGTCTAACCTCAAATTTTATTTTGATCCCTAAATTTTTTTTATTGGTGCCATTCCATAGTACACGTTGAGCTTTCTCAGTGTTTGAAATATTTGCACTTATTTCAGGGCCACCCTGGATATATATACAGTGTGACCCACTTCTAATGGAACCACCCCTGTATCTTACGTAATCGTTGGGTAAGGATCCTGAAATTTGCTGGAGCGAGAGATATACCAAAAATTCACTCTATGACCGAGTGGGGTCATCTTCAGTGATATACACTGCTCGCCAACAGCCATGAAACTACCCCAATTTCCGGAAAATGATATTAGGAGTCAAAATTGGTCGAAAATCACTTCAGATTCGGAATCAGGACGCCCAATTCACTAACTGTTCATATTTTTCCTGGAAAATTTCTAGTTCTGAAAAATTAGATTTTTTCGCACTTTTTTCGGAAGCACCCCCGTATTTTACGTAATTGACTTCATCGTTGGACTTTCTCTTCCTCCTGCAGATTTCAGAACCCTACCTCAATAATTACGTGAGATACGGGGGTGCTTCCATGAGAAGTGAGACAAAATTTAATTTTTCTGAACTGAACATTTTCTAGGAAAACTATGAAAAGTTAGTAACTTGGGCGTCCTGATTCCGAATCCGACGTGATTTTCAACCAATTCCTCCTAATATCATTTTCCGGAAATTGGGGTGGTTTCATGGCTGTTGGCGAGCAGTGTATATCACTGAAGATGACCCCACTTGGTCATAGAGTGCATTTTTGGTATATCTCTCGCTCCAGCAAATTTCAGGATCCTTACCCAACGATTACGTAAGATACATTGGTGGTTCCATTAGAAGTGGGTCACACTGTATAAAGATGAATACATTGAGAATTCGCATTCTCTATGTGATGAAAATATCAATTCTTTCTCGGTTTATTCAACAGAAAACAACTACTTTCCTGGCTATATGCCACAACAAACATTGAATTATATCTATTGAACACACACGATAAGAATTTGAAGACGAAATCTTCTGAACTTGATAATTTGCATTCTCCTTCATATAAAGATATGCACATAATATCATTCTGAATATTCAACAGAAAACAACTACTTTCCTGGCTATTTGCCACGTCGAACATTGAATTATATCTGTTGAACTTACCTTGAGGTAGATACCTACTTGAAAAATTCTTGAAAAATTTGCACATCTGTTCAGGCGGAGAAACAAGTCTGCAGGTGCCATCGTCAAGTCCACATACGAGATGTATGAAGAGAAGCCTTTGCCAGCTTTGAGACAGTGAGTAGAAACAAATAAAGTACCTAATAATTGGAAACCCTATCTGGTATACTTATTTTCGTGAGTAATATTTTTTTGAGATTTAGTTGAGATACACCAGATTCTAGATTAACGCAGCAATTCAAGAATTTTTAATTTTATTTTTAGGCAACTCATTGGTAAACCGAGATAACATAAAATGTCAATTTGCTACTTTCTCTGAATAAAATTTCGCAAACTTGAAAGTTAAATCAGAAAAATGCCCAGAAGAAATTAGTAACTACATATGAATTCGCTGTGAAGTTTTCTGGGGAACATATTTTTTGTTATTTCTCATATCAATACCAAGTAATATTTTGTGAGTTGATATCAAACAATGAGGAGTCATTTCGCAATTTTCAAAAAAAAACTAATTTTTAATTTTTATAATCTCTCAAATATTGTTTCATTGCTCATGAAGATGTCTACAAGAAATTGGTTAGAATTATAGAGAGAACTTGGTTATACAAGGTTTGTCACGACGAGCTTACATTTTCTTTATATCGAAGATCAGTCGGGAGAAATCCATGAAAATGTGCATGCTTATATTTTCAAAATCGAGATTTTTCAACTTTTTTTGAGATAGGGACATGTGAGCCGTTTTTGCCGATAATGAATAGTTTCAACACAACAAATCCTAAAGTTGAAAAATCTCGATTTTGAACACCCTATATCTCTGTAATAATTTCCGATAGACCCCAAGTGTGTGATGTATCGATGAAATCAGCTCTTCAGGGAGCATCAAAAAATGCAATGAAATACATTTAAAATAACAAAGTTGTTGAAGCTGCAACACTGCATTGCTGAGAATATTTTAAATGAAGAGAGCATATTCTAAAATATCAGCCAGCATATTCTCATGGATTTCTCTCGACTGATTCGACGAATTGACCAAAATGCATAGGTACCATATGAGGAAATGATAAGCAATTGGGAAAATACGACAATCAAAACCGATCAATCCTTCACCATGATTTTCTCACAGAAAATAGGTTGAAATAAGAGAAGAAGAATGGCGAGATACATATTGAGATTTTTTCAGTTCTCAAACCAATGAATTCCTGCGAGAATGCCAAATCGACCCGGACCTCAAAACCACGTCGAAGCTGACAGAAAGAGAGAAAAAGCAAGCCGCCCTTCCCATCCTGGTGTTCGGCAGCGACCTCATCGAGAAGTTCTACTCAAAACACTACTGCGACAAGGAGGATGGGCTCAACCAGCTCAAGGTATGAAATGCCGGTTCACTTTTCATTGTTCCATTTCAACAAACCTCACTTCGAATACTACACAACTTATGCATTTGGCCTTATAATTGAATTTGGTTATTCCGTGTTTCTCGAAAAAAGTGTACCTTAACGAGTTTGAACAGTTGGTGCTTTTTACTACAACATTGCATCCTCTTTCACAAAATTTCAGAAAGTTTCATCGCCACCCATGATTTTTCTAAAAAATCACACAACAAATACCCCTCAACGGTGCCACTGGGAGTCAGATCGACTAAGTAATAATGCTACCGATTCAATCACTCTCAGGTACTCAATTATTAACTATAATGTCAAGAATGTTTGTAGAGGGGTAATCTATCAATTCAATGAAAATTATTTTTTTTATTATCAACTTTATTAACACCCTGTATCTCGAAGCCTTCTACGATCTATGTTTATGGGAACTTTTTTCATTTATTCCAGACGCCCTATTCGCGGTTGTCAAGGTATAGATGTATAGAAAGTCAAATGGTGTTAGCAATTCCTATTGAAAGGAGTTTCAAAATCTCTCGATATCGCCTACTTCGTAAAAATAGCGAGGCGTGGGAGAATCTTGCTAAATTCCCGAAGTTACAAACCAAATTTACAGGCATCATGACACATTCATTTAAGTTCACATTCTCATCCTCACAATTTTTTGTTTATATGGGAACGGTGTGTCATATTTTCGATTGCCGCATTTCAGCAGTCAGTCCATAATGAAAGCACAATACACTCACTCAACTAATAATAATATAATATCAATACCTGCTTAATAAACTACTAATGCTCTTAATTTATAAAATTTTCTATTTGAAATTTGAACAAAATCTTGAATTTGAAGATCAAAATGTTTCCGCACGGATTATTTGTTGCGCCCTGTCTCTTTTGCATCCTGTTTCTAGATGCTTCCTATCGGCTATTACTGAATTCGTTCATCATCAACGAGACTCTTCAGGTCCCGAAAGAAGAACATCATATTCTCGAAAGTCTAGTTCAACTTCATAATGAGATTCGAAACGCAAATTGAAATTTTTCAAGAAATTCTCCATCGTTCACGCCATCTATCATCGAATATGAGAACCCTACGTTCCGAACTCGCATTCAATTGTTCATATCGAGAGCTAGTCTGACGAAACAATCGAAGACTGGGCACACCAGAGGAATTATAATCATCTCAGCCAAGGTCATCATCTGACGTTGATGCGATGACATGAAAAGTGCATGAAAACTACGGGAAACTATTTCTCCTATAACTCCTGGCTTAGATTGAAAGTCAGACATGTTTCCCGTAGTTTTGAATGGCATCGCTACGTCATCTAATGACCTTGCCGACCGCGAATTACCTCTGGAAGTGTGTCCCACAATGACGGCTGAATATCAAGTAAGCTGCCGAATATGGTGTAATTACTGACGCACTTTTGTTTCAGAAATTTTACTCGACCTCTCGAGAACAGCGAGAGCAATGGTTCCGTCGATCTTCTAATAGATGGCGACATTGCACAATCATGACATCTGTCAGTTTTGGAATTATCGCAGATTTTTCGAATTCAGAGTTGAATAATCCCACATTTTGTATCCACTCGTCACAGCAGCAATAGCAGCATCACTATCTAGCGGGAAAATGTAGAATCAACGTCTCGCTCGTTGTGACGTAGATAAATCATAGTAGGCAGTCGAGTGATTTTTCTGCAATTTTCAATACGTAATAATGGCCGAATACGCGCACCATATCTTACTTCCATCATTCTTGATATTTAGCCGTCATTGCGGTGTCCCATATGGTGATATTATGAAGCACCCTGTATTTCTGTCAAGGAATCTCTGATTTCGTACGACGGCAGCAAAGTGCACGCGCCCAACAAGACCGCCAGAGGGACGGTTTTCCTACTGCACAGGGCGTTGCGGGACAAGGTGTTTTCCGTGTACAGTCTGGCCAACGAGGTGATCCGGCTGTTTTTCGTGCATTTCGTTCCAGGAAGGTAAGACCAGATTATCTACTATTGAAAACGATGAAAAATGTTATGCAAGCTCTTCTATTTTCGACAGTTATCTCAAAAACTATTGGTAAGTTGAAAATTATAGGTTTTATTCAATAAATTCAGACAGCAGAGGGAGACAAAAAACCTCTAGAGCTAACATCTAATATTTTTTCCTGTAAAATTAATAGTTTTGTATTACGTGCGTAGAATGAGTGGTTTTTTTGAAAGTTTTTTCGAGAGTTGCACAGAAACACTATTTTTTCTCTGACAGGAAAAACGACTCGATAATATTGACAAGATATTACATTACACTGAAACACCGATTCGGTGACTGAAATCAGAGAATTGAATTTCTTAACTGGTAGTACACCTGTGTTTGCAGGCATCTTTTTGTAGGCATCTTTATTGTTGCTATGGAAACCTTCTAAAGAAATCGAATATCTGTCGATTTATCCAAGAAGAACACCAATTCCTACCTTATTTCCCTTGGTTTTCACGATGTTCTCTGAACATTACAGGATATCCCTTTTCGTGGAAAATAGAACATAGGAAAAAATCTGGTAAATCATTTCATACCTTTTTTAGATTTCTCGGGCAAAAGGCTCTTTATGATTGTACTTAAACTGGCAGCTTGTAAAACTTCTGGTTGAGTGCAGTTGAATTCATTTTTGCACAAAAAGTAAGTTCTTACTCACGCCAGGTAGGTATTATCAAATTATGACATTTCATGACGGGTCTGATTCAAACGTTTCACTGCATGCCCCATAGATTCCATTTCAACTTTGTAAAACTGGTGTCAACTGTTCTGTAGGTAATAATGAATCTACTTTGTTGCTGATTCGCCCTAACCTGTTGTGTAAAGGTGCTTATCATGGACGTATAAACAAAGAACGGGGCGTGGTTTGTTTGGTGTAATGCATTAAGTTACCCAAAAAAAAGCTACATGAAAAGGATCCAGTTTTCAACAAAGTACTTTTCCCCACATGTTGCACACTATACATTTTCTACAACTGAACTTATACAAAGAATCCAAGTAAAGTAACTCATTGGTATTCATTTTATAATGTGGCACATTGAATATTGTGACCAAAGAGTAGACGTATTTCCTAGTTACTCAAAGTATTTCAAAAAAGTACACTTTCCGAAAAAGATTTTATTTCTGTATTTTTTTTAGATTCCATAAATTTTTCGAATATGCCATTTCATACTCTTTTCTAGAAATTTCCGGAAACAAATCCAACTTTCGCAGCTTTTTCCATTATCTCTGTCTCTGGCGGTGTATTTATCAAAATCGTCACATTTTGCTATATACATCATATTATTTATTATGAATTGTTGGAATAATATTTGATGGAAACTGCGATTTCTATCAAAAGCACTAATGAGAACTACCCTAAAGAGTTCAAAAAACTTCTTCTGACAGTTGTGACAACTATTCAAAGCTGAACAGCAGCCAATTAAGTTTTGGTCGATATTTGTTGATTCTCCATGGGAATGTATTTGATGTTGGCAAAGTGCCGTGAGAAAAAATATTTCTCGCAGTATGAGCAATACATGGTTTTGAAACTAAGTTAAGCTATGAGAATTGCGCTACTTCTCATAGCAGTAGTAGAAAAACGATTTTTATTTTTCAACTTCAACACCTATTCCTAACTCTTGGCTTAGATTGAAAGTTAGACAAGTTTTTCCGAAGTTTTCATGTCAACGTCAGATGATGACCTCGACTACCGCGTATCTCACCAGACTCGGCACCGGTTGATTTTTCATTTTTTATTGCAAGGGTGGCCTCGGCTGAAGTGGCGCGCAGTGTCGACAAACTGTTGCCGGAATTGTTGACCAAGTCCGGCGATACTAGCCAGAGGATCAACCAGATGGCGGTACATACGATACTCACGATGGCGGATTGTAAAAGCGTGAGGTAAGGAGTATTCTTGCAAATTTAATTGATTTTTAATTTATCTTCTTCATTTTCCTATTCCTTATGAATAGATAACATTAGTACATGTTTGAGATTTTGATTTGTGAATGTCATCATTTTGTTCTCCTGTTCTTTTTCCCTTATTGATAGAGATGGAAACTGTGTTCAAGACTAAAAATATAATTCTTTTTTGAACAAAAACCAAGAAAGTCATCTCGTGGGTTTGATAGAATACCATAAGAACAATATTTAGACATATGGGCAGATGAAAATTAGCTGATCAATTCCTAACTGAAAATTGGTATCATTTAGCAAATTAAAGAAATACACGTTGTCTCCGATCTCTCATCTGAAAGGTTCACTGATGTGCACCTTATGGTGAACTTTTCTTTTGTATCCCCCATAATACTTCCAGTTGGAGTTTTTGGGCTTCCCCCCTTGGATTAAAATGAGATAAGATGTAACAGAGGATGGACATACATGTCCGAAACATGTACCAAGTAATTTGATCTGTTTGATCATATTAAAATGTCATGGAGATGACTTCAAGTATTATTAGTTGTTAATGAAAAAAGGTTAAGTCATAGAAATAATAATAATATACATCTTGTTTCACTTTAAACGCCCCCCCATCTCAGCTATTATTATACTGCAATTCCTACCAAATTTGGACTGGTATGAATAACTATCAATTTGATCAGTTTTTTAGAAACAAATATCATTTTGCATGGACGGTGCCGTGTATTACATTAAAATAAAAATGGGTCGATTTTTCATGAAATCGTATTAGGAATTTATTTTACACAAAAACTAACCCATATTATTGGTCTTTATGGCTCTAAACTCTCATATATGAATTTCCATGAAAGGTTTCAGAACAGGCATATCTAAAAAGGATTTTTCGACCGTACATAATTATTTACTCGGAAACAGTGCACCCAACAATAATAAGTATGTCTTGGTTATTCTTTCAAACCATGATTTTCTACCTTCTGGAGAACTATTGAACGTGCAAAAATTTGTATTTAATTTGAATCCACTATTTTTTCGGGGCAGTTGAAGAAAAAAATGAAGCCAGTCGTGTTAATTCGGAATGAGGTGGTTTATTTGCATATGGAGGTTCGAAGGCAAAAGGAACAATACTCTGAAGTAAGAATCGTACGACTAATGGCTGAAATATAGAGGGGACCACGTAATGTGAGACACGCTGTATTATAAGGAGATAAAAAGTTTATTTTTTTTATTTTTTCTCATTTAATTTTTGTAATTATTATTTTTTAATGTTTTCATTATTATTATATTATTATTATTTTATCCAGTTTAGAACTTGATCATCATAGTGGACTAATATAGTTGCATGTTGAAGATAATTTCCTATTCATCGTTGCATTATGGGCCTTTTTGTTCTTATCTTTTGTAGAGAACTTCACATAATACCCGTTCATCTGAGTAGAGCAGTCAGTAGCAGTACTCATCCTAGGTTAGCATTGAGTAGGGCTGAAATGGTCGAACAGCTTATTATCAATCATGGAATCTCTACCGATAAGCAAAGGTAAACAAGAAATAATAGTTCATTGTTCAAATTAGTTATACCCTCATGAAATAAGGAAACAGTTTGTTGAGCCATTTATTGGAAAATATCTATCTATACAGGGTGTCCCAGAATAACGTTCGTATACTGCAGATAAAAATAAGAAAAAAATGTCCCTATCAACATTATTTGTCCGAAAATGCTTTCTAAGGGAGCAAGAGCCCTTTGAAGGTAGGCCCTTGAATGCAGTTTTATTCAAATTGCACTTTCCTGTGCGGAAATTTGGTCAGGAGTATAGCTTTTGAATTATTTGAGGTAGGGTTTAGAAAATTGGTGGGTAGCAAGTATACCAAATTGATTGATGAAACAATTTTTCTTTCATCACTTCCAGTTTCACCGGAAACGACCCCAACTTTTGATTTTCAAATACGACACCCCCGCGTATTGTATTTCATAATCAGTTAGGGATTATCATGACGAATTCAACGATACCGGGTTTGATAGGGTTATTTCAAACGATTACAAAGATGAGTCATGGAAACCATCTATTCTCAAAGTGGTCCAGTATATTTTAACAGGAGATATATTAAATATTGTGGTCGACCGACTTTGAGTTCGTTATTTTCTCCTGTTGATTACAAAGATATTTGCGTTCGAAGTTTCCATATGCTCAATGGGTGTGACTTCGCAATTTCAAAACTTCTTTCTCTGTCACACTCATTGAGCATACGGAAACTTAGAACGCAAATATCTGCGTTATCGTTTGAAATAACACTATCAAACCCGGTATCGATGAATTCGTTATGACAATCCCTAACCGATTATGGTATACAATACACAGGGTGTCCCATTTGAAAATCAAAAGTTGTGGTCGTTTCCAGTAAAATCGGAAGTGATAAAACGAAAATTGTTTCCTCAATTAATGAGCAATTTGGTATAGCTATCCAATTTTCAAAGACCTATTCGAATAATCCAAAAGTTACAGTCCTGGCCGTTTTTTGTGAACTTCTTTGTATATCATTTCGTTATCAGATGACGGTAGATATTTGCAGCCGGCTCTTGGACTATAAGACCAATATTAACTGAGATAGCTATCGAGTGAAATATGAACGATCACCCTGTACATGTTTTTAGCGGTCTGACATGCCGAACCCTGTCCGAATTCGGCTCCAGCGGGCTGCACCACCCAGCGGAGGCAGTGAGGAAGGTGAGCGAAAGGATTCTGGTGCTGGTGTACGGGGTGAACCCGAGACTGGTGAGGAAGCAGCTGCCGCCCGACGACGACATCACCAGGAGGAACTTGCTCTACAGGCAGCTATTCCACGAATTCGACAAAATCGATTTACAGGTACCTAACACTAGAGTTCCTAGATGTACTTGACACTGCTGTTTTGACGTTTTTGTATATGGGTTGCGTGCAAGAACTGTCAGATGACCGACCGTGGAGGCACAACATTGAAACACAACCTCACTTTTCTTGTTTGTTTACAAGTGATCGAAATACAGTTCTCAACACACTAAATGGACCACTCATAATTCGACTATATTTCGAAGACCTGTATCGAAAACGTCTCGAGTCAATAGTCTGATATAAATAATGGATATTGAGAAGGCCGTTTCTGAATAATACTGAATCAAATGGGTCACCGTTCTTGATTTTTTTCACTCAAATGAGATTTTGTCCTATCTTCTTATCATCCTGTTTATTCCACAAAAGTACTTTTTTCGTCTTCCATTGTCCTCCACAAAACATGAGAACAGTTCTCGCAATAATCAGTTCATGTGGAGTTCTAGAGAAAAAATTTAAGAAATGCAATACTTTCGAAAAAAAATCGAATTTTTGTTCCAATGGCCAATTAGGGAGAAATCAGGAAAACGTCCCGAGATGAGGTCCAAGTGTATCATAATATGACTGACTTTTGATAAAAAAAAAATTCTCGAGTTCTGGCAGCATTGGAAATGTAGACCATAGTGTAATGATGGTTCCACTTTACACCCTGTGTAAGTTTTGTTCTGTGGACTTTTTCAGAGTGTTCTAGCTTTCTTTGAAGCCGATGAAATATCACATCTGATATCGAAAACCGCATGAAGATCGGTCAATTTTTTCAAAAAATACAGGTCTTCGAAATAGGGTCGAATTATGAGTGGTCCATTTACTGTGTTGAGAACTGTAGTTTTCACAATCATTTTGGCATACGAATCGTATTTTTCGGCTATTCATCAATTCGCTGTTGCCGTCACATTGTGCTGTTGTAAATTGCACAAAAACTGCAGCGGAAGACGAAGGAATCCGGTTGGTACATTATGATTTAAAAGTAAGTACCTACCTACGTCAATCACATAAAGTTTTCATTTTTGAAATTTGGTAATTTCTCTGATTTCTCATCGGAATTCAATCTGCAATAGGAGCTAATAGAAATACTCGTGAAATTTCTAAAAGAATGCAAGAAGATCGGATTCATGCAATCAATCGGGAGGACTGGTCTGACATGCTGACGAAATATGATCGTGTGTGTTGTAGACATTTTCAATCTATTAGCAGTATTAGCTTGTATTGCAGAAGTGGCAGAAGGCAGAAGGAATTTTAATAAGGAATGACAACATTTCATAATGATAACTATGTGAGATTAGTTTTTACCTGAAAAATCATATTCCTTCGTCTCTCGCTGCATTTTTTGTGTATTGTACATCAGCACAGCATGAGTAGCGCAAAAAACACGATTCGTATGCCAAAATTTTGTGAAAAACTATTTCAATCCTTTGATTCCTCTGTAAATAAATAAAAAAGTGAGGATGTGTTTCAATAATTCACAGAAAAGTGAGGTTGTGTTTCAATATTTTACCTCCAGGGTCGGTCATCGTGCACGCGACCAATTGTTCTTACACAAAAATCTGGAAAACTTCCTCGTCATGTACAGTTGACAACACTGTGCGGTGAGTTGTTCGTGACGTCCCGAAATGCCCCGTGATTGGTTAGAATTCAGCAGTCGGCTGTGCAGGTAGCAGTCAAAGATCGATTTCGCGGCTGCCGACTACAAATACAGATACGATTGCATAAAAATGCCTATTGCTATGGATACACCTTTTATACCTATTGTATTTTTCATTCCACAGCAGTTTACCATATTTTGAAATTGGTCTTATATAACTAAGACATCGAGGATGAATAGAGTTGCCTCAATTAGCAGCATGAGTGAGAAATTACTGTTTCAGTTCATAAGGCCTCATCAGTCGTTCTCGGTCTACTGACAATTGAAACAGTTCAACGCTGCGGGTTACCACAATCAAGTTGTTTATACTGAATCAACGAATCGTAATCATAAAATATTCATTCGAATTCTGTATACACTTTTCTTTATAGCTCTCATATATTATTGAGTTAATGGAGAAAAATATATTGAGTCATCCTATACAGATTTTATGTTGACGTCATTTTTCTCAAGTGAATAATCAAAGGGTTGTCAATTTTATAATTTGAATTTTCAAAAAATACAGTAATTGGAATGGATGGATTCCTAAAACAACCTCATAAAAAAAGATTTGGGTTCATCATTTTCAAAATATCAAAATATTTTCAGATTTTCGAAAATCGATACATGACCGACTGCGAGGCCTTTCATAACTACAAACATTTTCCGGTAATTGAAGTTTTTTTTACAGCACTCTTGATTTATCCAGGTTGATTTGATAGTATTAAAACTTCAATAACACCCTGTATAAACTGAAAACTCTTTCGGCACAGGTCAACTTCTTGAAACTTATAACTTGAATTGTCTACATTTTATAACTAATTATTGTACCGAGTAACACATTATCAAGTACCTCCCACTATAACTTTTCATTTATGACAGTTAAAAATTGCCTGACAAGGATTTTTTTCCTTTTCAAATCAACAGATATTTTTACACAGCTCAAAAAATACCAGGGGCTACAAAAAATGTACCAATTTCAAATAGAACACCCTTTATGTACTGTGTCTCACTTCCAACGGCCGATATCTCAGCTATTTAGTCATGCGATTCTTACCAAATTCAGACCAGTATGAATAACCATCAATATGATCAGTTTTACATAGACGAAGATCATTTTGGACAGTACCGTGCGTTTTTATTAAAATGAAAAGGGGTAAATTTTTATATAAATATTCATACTATGGAGTTTCGGAAAACAGACACTCAACATTTTTGCGAAGGTAAATAATTAATTGGAAACGGTGAATTCAACAAAAAAAGTACCTATATCTTGTTTTTTCTTTCAAACCATGATTAAAATGAAATGGCAGGTAGCGAAATAGCGAATAATATACCAAGATTTTTAATAATTTGATTCTTGTGGTTCTAATCTTCCCTGTAATAAAATCATTCGAAAATCGTTCGAACTCTGTTAGTTTTGAATGGCCTAAATAATTTATTTATCAAACATATCTTCCAGTCAGAACAAGTTCTGGCACTTCTGGTATGAGGAAGAACATAATTATAAAATAACAAGTAATAAATATCTATGAGCTACTACACAAACATGAGTAGAAGTGAAAATGAATAATAAATCATAATAAATCAGGATAACACAATTAATCACAATGAAACAAAACAATCATCGAACTGTCAAAAATAAAGAAGTTATAGGTCTTAGTCGAGTACGTGAGTATATCGAATAGGGGTGTTTGAATGCAGAAGGTGGGGTAATAGCGATTTTTTAGTATGTTGTTAGGCTTGGGGCCCTAATGATAAATCCAAGTTTTCAACCTCGAGCTGCATGCGCTCGAACCGCCATCTTGGATTTTATGTACAAGCATTTGCTTTTTTTATAATAACTCAAAAACTGTGGCTTTCACGAAATTTCCTACATTTCTGTAGAAAAAAAATATTTGTAGGGCACATGTTGGAGTTGTGAAGTTGCACTATTTGAAAAGAAAAGTATTAAATTTTGTAATATGGCTGTTGATACCTGAAATATATAATTTAAACAAATACAAATCATATTGAGATAATTTTCGAAAAGACTTCACTTTGATTGAGAGAGCTTAGGAGAAGGGAGTAATAACCCTTTTGGGCCAAACTAAACTAGCATAGCCCTTTTGTTCTTTGGAAATGTCCACATGAATCTAGCCAAAAATCAAAAAAGGGAACAATCATGTTATTTTTAAATGCACTGCGTCGCTAACAAAATATCCTATACAGGGTGATTCAAAAGTAAGCGGCATCCTTTCAGAGGCGTATTCCTTGCATGAAAATAAGGCAAAAAGTTCCTATTGATAAGGATCCGAAAATGCTTCCTAAGGGAGCTACGGCCCTTTGAATAGGACACCTCAAAGACGGTTTTTTCTCTATAACTTTAAAATCCTTCACAACAAATTTTTAAAAATTGGTGTACGGCATAAACATTCGATGGTAAATAGGACTCCGTATTCGAAATAATTTCCAAACGAAATCACAGTAACCTGAATATCCGGAGAAGAAGGGATATTTTTACACTTACCCTCTCCCGCATGTGACGCCCCTGAATGAAATTCTGAAATTTCGAATACGGAGTCCTATTTACCATCGAATGTTTATGCCGTACACCAATTTTTAAAAATTTGTTGTGAAGGATTTTAAAGTTATAGAGAAAAAACCGTCTTTGAGGTGTCCTATTCAAAGGGCCGTAGCTCCCTTAGGAAGCATTTTCGGATCCTTATCAATAGGAACTTTTTGCCTTATTTTCAAGCAAGGAATACGCCTCTGAAAGGATGCCGCTTACTTTTGAATCACCCTGTATAGTGGAGAAAGGGAATTATTGTATTATGAAATCTATGTTTGAAATAATTGTCATTTTCCACTGAATGCGCATAACGATCACACAATGCCCGTTCCAGCCAGCTGTTTAGTGTTTCCTATTTCATTAGTTACAGTCTTTTGTTATTGGCACCGAATTTTCTTTGAATCTATTGATTCTCCTTTGTGATTTCCATCAATAAATATGTGAAAAATTAATATTACATGAAAATAGGTATAGTGGAATGAGGGAATAACTTCAAAATTTCCATTCCTAATATCTCTTAGGCAATACTGAAATTGAGGAAAAAGAGACTTTCAATGAATCCGTTACACCATATCCTAAAACATTCCTGTGAATCGACTTCACGTATAAAACGTCTAAGAGTTACACAGTTTTTTATACTTACTTTTCGCCTTCAACTTTATTCACGAAAAGTAAAATAATGTTAATTGATAATATTAAAGTGCCTTTTAATTTTTAGTTCATGATTTTGTAAAAATAAAATGATGATCTGCTATAAGAATAATGAAACAAAATGGAGTTTCTGCATTTTTTTCAAATAGTAGAATTTCACGGAGTTGCAATAACTCCTGACATATGAGTCCTACAGAAAATTTTTGACTACAGAAAATGTAGGAAATTTTGTCTTCTTCAACTTTGTATAGAACATGTTTTGTGGCGAAAGCCACCGTTTTTGGGTCATTATCAAAGAAGGAAATTTTTGTTCTTGGATTTTTCACGAGGGCCCCAAACCTAACAACATACTAAAAAAACACTACTACCCCATCTTTTGCATTCAAAAAACCCCCACGTACTGGACTACTTATAAAATGTATAAAAGAACAGTAAATTTTTTTCACAGAGAAAACGAGAAGCTCTAGAGAAAACCCGTCTACTGCAACAAACAACGACAGCCCTAAATCCAGATTGCTTGAGCCCGGAGCCGAAACAGAACGGTCGTCTCGGCCTCAACAAGAGCGCCAGCTCGACGAACGTGAAAACCGCAGCGGAAAATTTCCAGGTCGAGCCGCCGGATCAAGGAAAACATTTCGGCTTGTCGACGAGCGAGAGCAGGAATGAAATAGAGGCGAACGGTTTGAATGGAAGGACATCTAGTTCCGCCAGTGGAATATCGACGCCTAGCAATAATTCCCAAAAAGGGGATGAGGAAAAGTGAGTTTCCAAACTTTGCACCCAAACATTTCAAATAGTATTGTCTATCAAAAAAAAACTATACAGGATGACTTAAAAATATGTACCGAGATTTCTGGAGGTGATAGTACAGTGTGTCCAGTTTAATATGCCTTTGCGTGATATCTCAGTTATCTTTGGATATAGAACCTTGCGGTTTTCGCCGTCCTGTGCCACTTACTTGTGATTCTTGTGAAACTCAAGATGGCCTAATCAGATTTTGCATAACTGTTTAGCTCATAGAGAATTTTATGCAGAATCCAGTAGCGCACTCAATTTTTTTTTTCGGGGTATGGTTTTGGAGATACGACTCAAACTTATGATTTTTTAAATGGAACACCCTGTATTTCATCAGCTCATTGAGTTCCTTAATATTTTCCCTCAAAAATGATATAATATAATATGTTTAAATATAAGATTTTCAAAAATGCTCCAAAATCACTGAAACTTTGAATTTTAAACGGATTGGATGGATTTTAATTATAAATAAAGTTTCAATTGAAAGAATATTTCCTTTGAATTTTCATGAAGAGGAAAAAAACAATACCAACACTAATTGACTAACAAAACAAATAACTTTGTTACCTGAAAGCAAAAAATAAATAGTAATAAATAGTTCATAATTTAAAATAAGTATCTGATTGAATAATTATTACTAAAACAATTGGATTTCGAAATTATTCAGTAACTTATTCATTGAATTGTTCAAATTGATGTCCATTATCCCTGGAACACTTTCTCATAAAGTCTTATGCCTCTGTTGTTGCACGAAGTTCTTCAAGATTGTTGTGCCTCTTACTGTATTAACATGTATTGAGAAATTGTGTCAATTTTGTGTTAGGGAAAATGGAGATCAATTTGAAAAATTCAATAAAATACTGGATAATTTCGAAATTCAATTGTTTTAATAAAAATATTCAATCAGGTGCTTAATCTACATTATGAACTTTTTATTACAATTCATTTGTTTTCAAGCTAACCTAACTTGTGTGTTTTGTTAGTTAATAAGTGTTGATATTGTTTTTGTCCTTTTCATGGAAAAATCGATAGAAAAATTCCTTCAATTGGAACTTTTTTTATATGAAAAATACATAGCCCACTATTAAATTTCAATGTTTTAGTGATTTTCGAGCATTTTTGAAAATTGTATATCTATACATCATATATTATTTTGAAGGGAAAAATAAGAAAAGCTTATAAAATACAGGGTGTTCCATTTAAAAAATCATAAGTTTGAGTCGTACTTATCTGCAAAACCGTACCACGAAAAAAAATTTAAGTGCGCTACTGGATTCTGCGTAAAATGGGCTAAGATTTTAATTCGACATTTTCGCTGAGAAACTTCGTAAATATATTATATATTAAAATTTTAAAAATAGCCCTGTACCTCATAAACAGAAACAGTTATGCAAAATCTGATTAGGCCATCTTGAGTTTCACAAGAAAGTGGCACAGGACCGCGAAAATCGCAAGGTTTTATCTCCAAAGATAACTGAAATATCACGCAAAAGCTTCGAAAACTTGACACACTGTACATTGAAAAATAAGTATAGTTTGATCTGGCCCAAAGTTGATCAAATTAAAATAATTCGTCTGCCTAACTTCTACATCATAAAAGCAACCAGATTGAAATTTCCTGCATAGATGAATATTGATAAGATACATTTTCCTGATACACTTTTACAATGATATCTTATCAAAATACAAAAAATGTAACCTTCTCGAGATATTTCGAGTTTTGAGTTTTTGTAGTGACATGATATCAGCAGGTAAATTCATCAGTGAGAATATTTTAGTACGTCTCGAACTTCTTGGCCGGCCACCATCTCTATTTTTCGTTTTGAAACATTCTTTGTCATGCAATCTTTGCAAAATCCTCAAAATAATTCTAGAATTCGGAACGTACGTAAAAAATGCATAAGAGACAGCTTTTCCTTCTCCTATAAGTTGAAAGATAGTTGAGGTACAGGGAGATTCCAAAATGCAACAATTTCAATTTCGTCCTGTACCTCAAAAACGAAACCGGCTATAAAACTGTTTTTCGTATGAATTGGTAGAACTTACATAACCTACTGATATAATCTTTCAGCAGGCAATGCATTTTCTGTAACCAGCACGAAACCACGATATTGTCGGTCAGCAATTCCATGAATTCTCATTATTGGAGAGCGTGCCCTATGTTGGTACGTTGCAAGGTATGCAGTCAAGTCATCGAGGTGTCAGCTCTAATGGAACACTTGCTAGCTGAATGTGAACAACACGAACAGTATACGCAGTGTTCTCAATGTTCAGAAGCTGTCCGAAATGAAAATTTCCAAAACCACATCAAAACTTGTAAAGGTAACTGATCTATTATTTTTCTTGTATTTATCACTTTGTTTTGCACAAAATTCTAGTGCAACTGGGAAGACTGGAACTTTTGGCACTTCAAAAGACGATTATTATTATTTTTCATGTATTCTCACCTTGTTTTGCACTATTGGAGGACTGGAACCTTTGTCACTTCACATTTTCAAACATAGTCAACTCGATCGAAAATTGATCGAAACCCAGTGAATGTAAAAAAGTTCACCAACGATTAAAAGCACGTTTTCCTACAACAGTCAAGTATAGCTTCTTCAACAAACTACATTGTTAGCAAAACATGTGTTTTTAAAAATGTTGTGGATATCTCAGCGTTGTGAGGTTTTTTACTTATGAACTATTGAGATCAATCGACAAGACTGATGTTTCAACCTCACCAGTCCCTTTTGCGGAAGAACATGTAGGCCAAACTAGGAAACTCATCAAAACAAGGTTTAAAGAACATCTGCACAAAGTATGGTGCATTGGATGAATCAATAGCACATTACATCAAGAACCTGAAATCGATCAAACAAGTTGAGAAGTTAGGAAATTCGATACTTATTTATGGTTGATTGCCTAGTAATTTTTCCCTATTCTGTTTGTTTTAGAACTAACTGAAAGTTGCATTAGATGCCCTCTGTGCCACGAAAATTTGGAACTAGAAGAAAACTGCTGGAGAAATCACCTGATGGGAGAAAATCCTTGTTCAAAAAATACAAGGATCAAGATTCTTCAACAAAAGCAAGTCAAAATTCAAGTTTGAACACTTTTTGAACCATTTCTTAGATCTAATTCACAATATGTGCCACTTTCGTGTGATATTGCAAGCCCAAGTCTCAATATTTTCAGTCGTTTTATCAACCATGCCGGCCAATACGATCTCTTGATGTTATTTATTTACAAATTCTAGTAGTGTAAGTGTAAGTTACGATTCATAAGCAGAATCTGTACTTTAACAACATACTCCAATACTTTTTTCATTCCCTCCAACGAAATTGGAAAATATACAGTGTGTGTCTGACCACAATTGTGATTTCTTAATCGTTGACCGATTTCAAATTTTGATTTTCCCAAAATGTTGTACCCATCAGGTTCCACATTCTTGAGTATTCTATACTCTTATGGCACTATTTTCAGGAAGATATCTTTCACATCAAAAACATAAATTTTGTGAATCAATTGGCTGTTGCAAGAAATACTGTTTCGGTTTTCCAATCCTCATCAGTTGTACTAGGTCGGCTGACAGTCTATTCAAGAAGGGAACTCCAATTTATTTATTTGTCGATAAAAAAAGATGAATGATTGCATTTGTTTCGTATTTTTAATCGATCGTAGTTGGAAAGTTTAAAATCGGACAACGAATATGGAAATATAAGGGTGGTGCTGTGGGACACACAGTAGTTGATTAAAAAAATTCAATAGCTAGAAGTGCTAGAACTACTTGAGAATCGTCCAATTCAAAATGTCCATTTTATTCTCAAATAATCGCAAAACGATGCTTTTAATGATTGTTTCGAAGAATGAACAGGGTAATTATTAATGGGGAAAAGTTTAATTTAAGCAACTCAAGATTTACAATTCGTGCAATTTATTTGTGATACTTCTTTTCTCAATTATGTATATCAGTACTATTTGATTAATAAATTTCAAGAATTTATGCCTTTTTCATTTTATTAAAAATAGAACAATATAACCTTCCTACATCATACAAACAAACTAATTAGAAGAATAATTATAGATTTATGTACAGACTGAAATACTCTATATTATCTATTCTTATACAAAAACTTATTTCTACTGTCTGCAAATAACCAAAACCAGTATTTTGCATTTCCAGTCAATTATACAGAAAAATATATATTTCATTTTTCATTTTTTTATGGGGTAATCAATATACCAGTAAACAATATAAAATAACCTTAACATCGAGGACAGAAAAAAAAACTTACATCTTTGGAATTACTCGTTTTCTTGTCCCGGACTGGTAGGAGAATAACTAGGCGAACTAGGAGAATATCTAGGAGGAGCGGGAGAGTAAGCAGGCGACGCCGGCGAGTAACTAGGACTCGTAGGAGTATAAGTAGGACTCGTGGGGGAATACTTGGTGCTGTGCGGCGAATACTGCGGCGAGGTGGGAGAGTAACTAGGAGAACTGGGAGAATAGTTGGGAGAACTCGGCGAGTACCTCGAACTGGCGGCCGGAGTGTGCTGCGGACTCGAGGGGGAATAACTAGGACTCGTAGGAGAGTAACTAGGACTCGTGGGAGAGTACTGCGGACTGCCTCCCGAAAAGGACGGCGATGTCGGAGAGTAGCTGGGACTCGTCGGCGAATATTTCGGCGACGAGGGAGAATAACTCGGAGACGCCGGCGAATATTGCGGAGAACTCGGAGAGTAACTCGGCGAAGTGGGAGAATAACTTGGAGAAGCGGGCGTGTATCTCGGCGAGGACGGAGAATAGCTCGGAGAAGTAGGACTGTAGTTGGGAGACGTGGGAGAATAACTCGGCGAAGTGGGAGAATAACTCGGCGAAGTAGGAGAGTAATTCGGAGAGGTGGGAGAGTAACTAGGACTCGTGGGTGAGTAGCTAGGACTGGTAGGAGAGTAGCTAGGACTCGTGGGAGAGTAACTAGGACTCGTGGGGGAGTAACTAGGACTCGTTGGGGAGTAACTAGGACTCGTGGGGGAGTAGCTAGGACTCGTAGGAGAGTAACTAGGGCTCGTGGGGGAGTAACTAGGACTAGTGGGAGAGTAACTAGGACTCGTGGGAGAATAGCTAGGACTGGTGGGGGAGTAACTAGGACTCGTAGGACTGTAGTTGGGGCTGGTGGGGGAATAACCGGGCGAGCTGGGTGAATAGCCTGGTGAGGTGGGGGTCATAGAGGGAGAGGTGGGTAGGAAAGCGGGACTCGATGGGCTGTAGGATGGGGATTGTCCGTGCGGAGATGCCAGATATGGTGACATGGCAGGAGATTGTGGAGTCGGAGACCACGCTCCGTATGCCGGAGACATCCCTGAAGCGTCTGAGGCGGCAGAGGGCGAGAAAGCTGCTCCGCCGGGTGTCATACCGCTGCCCATCATGTCTGAAAAACAAATTGATGTTACATTCTCATTATCAAGGGGTGGAGAATGCTACTTTCTTGGACGCATCTTAAAATTCAGAAAAAAAATAATCAGCAAGATTCAGAAAATAGTACATTATTCAACCAGCACATAACAATGATTATTACTCATGAAGATTAAAATTACAGTACCAGCCAAAGGCAAGTGCTGTAATCCTTATCATTTTTAGTGTGGAGTTATCATTTTTTTTTATAGGTTCCATCATCCTTCTGGCATATTCTTCCTCAATGTTACATCCATAAATTTCCTTCTTATGATTCTTTCCACTGGATCACATGAGTGAAACCTCGATTTGTTTCTACTCTTCATCATAATTTTTCTCTTCTCACTTGACGAACTATCTATGTAGGTGTGATTTTTAGAGAGATGGCAAAATTATCAACAATATGAAGGTAAATAAGCAGTTCCTGCCTTTTTATTCTTGGCTTGCATGTCATCATTTCAATGAAGAGTAAATTCTGTTCCATCACAGCACTGTTGAGTTCCTAGTTCTTACTCAAATTTAAATAGCATCAATAAATCCAGCTACTTTATCACTAAATAAACAATAGTTTTTTTGTATCCACCATGCCTTCATCAATCATGTATAAGTACTTTGAAATCGATTTTGTTCAGATCTTGATAAAATTGCTAAATAATTAACAAAATTGTTCAAGTAAAAGCAATATTGTTGAAAAATTACGAATTTTTGAGTTGACAATACTGTTATTAACTCGTTTGTTGATTGTTAAGTACCGTTAGTGCCATTATCTTATGAAGAAGTGTTTATAGTCATGACCTTCCAAATAAGTCTGCCTTGTACTGACATTTTTATTGAAATCATATTATTCAAATTTTTGAACTCATACAAAAATCAAAGACAGAGAAAGATATATGGATGTACTCTTCCCAGGACTCGGGGAGGAAGGAAGATGCGAGGATCCTTTATATAAGCGAAAAACATATTCTTATCCTTGTCTGGCAAAAACATTTGATTTGCTTCAAAACCGTTTGTGGGTATGATTGATTGTCAATGCTTGTCCTGTGTCCGTACTCTAATATTCGCGAGATTGACGAAGTGGGCGACATCTAGGTTACATAATACGAACTTCAAACTGGGGGAAAACAAACTGTTGTCTATGGATGAAGTGCATAGACTACATTGCATTCAGCTTGCTGGAGCTGTAGTCAAACTTGGCAATGACATAAAGTGTTGGCACTGTTGGTAGTGATGATGGTTGACATTTTTATTAGTTTAGTGAACAGTGAACGGGTGAAGAATTGGAGATAGTTCAAACAATTCAAACTAATTATGAGGAGCAAATCAATTGACATATAAAAGAACAGCTACAACATGTTTACAATACCCAGATTGTCCTGCATTGCAGGAAAAAATACAAATTCATTGTTCTACAGGAGTTCCTCTGGACCCCAACTTCAATTTTACTTCATGTAGAAGTTTGTAGACAAGTGCAAAAATGTGCCTTTTGTTGAAGCCTTCTGCCTCACACAAAATCACATGATTAGCACGGAGTACTGCTTCTCCTTCCACTACTGGTCGGCTTATACCATCTAAATAGAGCAAAATATCTGCCAAAAAAACATCTATAAAAGGCATTGTTAGCGTTTTCGATCGAATCTTGACAATTAATGTCAAGAAATTCAAAAACTTATCACTCTTATTAGTACACAGTACACAAGCTAATGGCACTAATGGGATTGAGTGAGGATTGAGTTTGTTTTCCCCCAGTTTTGACGTGGCTTTGACATGGAACGATGAAAACCGAGCGCCACCTGGTAACCTTGATTCCCGCTAATACAAAAAACGTCAAAAACCCTAGTAACAAAGAAATGAACGTTTGTAGGATTAAGAAGTTCCTAGATCAGCATCATGTGCGGATTAATTATTTTTCAAATAGCGTCGAAAACAGTTATGTACTAAATTGAAATAAATATGATCAGATTGTGAACTATTTGGATGAAGCTTTGAAAAAAAATCTCTACACGGAACGAACGGATCCCAGTTACAACTCACCTACCTAAAAATGAGTTGATCTAGTTCCCATACAACACCATCAAATAAACCATCATCAACATCAAACCATCCGATAAAAATATACTCACTTTGCGGCGACCAAGCGCTGCCCACGTACGGCGTCCCGATCTGGTTCCACGGCGTCATGACGCCGCCGGCGCCTCCGCCGGGGCTCATGCTGCTCGGCGTCGCCGCCGAGCCGAAGAACATGCCGGCGTTGAGGAGGTCGGCGCCGTGCGCCTGCGCGATCGGCATGCCCTGCTTGCACTTGTCGGCGTCGAGCAACAGGTCGAAACAGCCGGTGCCCATGCGCGGCAGCTGGCCCATTATGATGTTCTCGGAGACGCCGCGCATCGGGTCCACCTAAGAGACGAGAGCGAACGAAAAATTAAATAAGGATTTTTCCATTTCCCGATTCAAATTCATTGTTGTTGATTGTTTATTGTTTATTCAAAAACTAGCTTCCAGTCAGAAATAAAATTCTGGTATGAGGAAGTTGATTACAAACAACAATAATAAAATAATATAAGGTGACAACAACAACAACAAAAAAATCAAAAGAATCTAAAAATGCTAAATCGATCAAGTCATAAAAATAGCCACAGGGACTAATCAGTAGATGGCAAAGTATAAATTTTATCTATTTCGTAATGAAATCATGTGTTTTTTTAATTCAACTTTAAATTTTGGAATATGTCTGCAATTTTTTATATTCGGGTCGATTCTGTTCGGATCTTATTATAACATTGCTAAGATAATAATATTGTTATGATCATAACATATAACAATATTGCTATGAAGTTCTGTATTCTGTTTGCAGAGTAACTGCAAGACTGGTTATAAGTTCAAGTGATAGCAATATTGTTGAAAAATTGAGAATTTTTGAGCTGACAACACTGTTTTCAACTAATTGTTCAAGTGTTAGGTATCGATTTTGCCATTATTTCATGAAGAAGAAGAGTTCAACCTCTCAAATTAGTCAGTCCTGCGACCTGCACTGACATTTTACAAAATTATATTGTTCAAATCGAGAGATTTTGTATTTGCTTAATCTGGTCGTCGTTGTGCGACTGGTGCAAGTAATCAATCATGTACCCGAAATGAAAAAACAACTAAAATCCGGATGAAACAAATTGTGATTTTTTTTTTATATTCTAGCAAAATAGCTTGATAAACTATCCATCAGGCAACTGAAATTTCTCTATGCCGAAATTGTAGTCTCATATTTCCTCTACAAATTGGAACTTCAAGAAGAGGTTTTCAAGTAGTTGGTCACAGTACAGGGTGGGCCAAATTCGATGGGATTTGGGGTTTTCTCTGAAACTATCAGTGCTAAACAAAAACCGACCACGGTGTCCTGAGCTTGATTTTCGTGAAAAAAACAATGGCGCAAACCGCGATTGTCTATCTTTTTTGGCTGCCGAACTACAGAGCGTTTTTGAGATTTTACCTTTTATTGGTGACGTCATTATCTCGATCACCGTGATTCCTGTCAAAAAATGAATAACACTTTCTCATAGCAATCTTTTGAGTTGAATTGATTACTGATAAGAGCAAAATTATTCATCGAACAGTTTTCGAGATATGAACCTAATTTATTTTTTTTAAATGGGACACCCTGTAAATTATTTCACCATTCGATCATAATTTCAATTACCTTTCGAACGATGTATCATATGTTATAGTTACTTTGAGAACAAGTGGTTGTTTTTCGAAAATCTTTATATTCAGGGAGTAGATCGACAATAATTTTATCAAGTAAGTATTATTATAAGAATATGAAAAAAACTTGAAAAGAATCATTGAAATGAATTTTCAAATTGTCTTCCATTGACATCTATGCACTTCTGACATCTTCTTTTGACAGCATTCGTGGCATTTCTTATCATTATAGGAGTTATTTTTCGAAACGCAGCTAACGTTCTGTTTTTAATTCCTCGATGTTATTAGATGGTTCTCCATATATCATATTCTGCAAATGACCCCAAAGCCAGAAATCGCAAGGAGTGATATCAGGAGATCCTACTGGACACAAAATAGGGCCATTGTTTCCTACAAATAAAATAATATTTGAATGAGCTGATTATTCTAACGTCTACTTTGGTGCATTAAATAATTTAGAAGAAACTTTCAATGCTATCATGATAGAAATATATATATGCGTTTTACAATAGTTCTGAGTAACATACCTATACAATTTTCTTCAAATTGAACATTCAAATAATTCCTAGTATCACATGATGTATGGCTTGGCGCCCCATCATGTTGAAAATAATAATATATTCTTTCGAATTGTCTCACAGGCATTTTTGGGCGAGGTTTGACAAAAGATCCAAAATCTTTCAAATTTGACTGTAACCTTTTGAATATTTTTGGGTTGGGTTGTATTTTCTCTGGGTATCTATAAGATGATTTGACTGTTAATTTTGGACAACCGTTTCACTGTCGATTATTCTATCACTTACCTATTGAAATAAAGTTCAGAAGCTAAGTTTTCATCTTCTCCACTTTCGATAAAACACTTGAGCATATCATATTTCTCTTCATTACTAAATTGAACCATTTTTTGTGAATAAGCGTCACAGTTGACAATAATAATTAATGGATTATGGTTGTCATTTCTCCATGGCCTTCTTGAGAAGTATAAGGAACATAATGAAATGCAATTGGAAGACGACAATAGGAAACAATTCGCACCTCAGTTGAACTGAATATTTCGAACTTTCTCACAGTTTTGAATGATAATTATCAAATAAACGTGAATATTTGTGAATTTGATAAAGCTAGTTAGTTATTATATTTTTCTTCAGTTTTTCATGGACTCATATCAGATTTTTCGAAAAACAATCACTTGTTCTCAAAGTAACTATAGCATATGATACATCGTTCGAAAGGTAATTGAAATTATGATCGAATGGTGAAATAATTTACAGGGTGTCCCATTTCAAAAAAATAAATTAGGTTCATATCTCGAAAACTGTTCGATGAATAATTTTGCTCTTATCAGTAATCAATTTAACTCAAAAGATTGCTATGAGAAAGTGTTATTCATTTTTTGACAGGACTCACGGTGATCGAGATAATGACGTCACCAATAAAAGGTAAAATCTCAAAAACGCTCTGTAGTTCGGCAGCCAAGAAAGATAGACAATCGTGGTTTGCGCCATTGTTTTTTTCACGAAAATCAAGCTCAGGACACCGTGGTCGGTTTTTGTTTAGCACTGATAGTTTCAGAGAAAACCCCAAATCCCATCGAATTTGGCCCACCCTGTACACAGCAGTGAACCCATCCTATATGTTTGTAATCACCAAGTTTTTCAATAATTCTTCTACGAATTGAAACTTTGAGGAAAGGTTTTCGAGTAGTCAGTGACACAACTGAACTCTCATATGTTTTTAATCCACTATTTTCTGAATTTTCATACAGTTGGAAGAATTTGTAGTGCAAAAACAAAGAATCCACTACCTTGTTATCAGATAGCAAGCACAAAATTGATGTTGCCGAGATAGCAAGAAAGCTAACCAGATTTCATTGAAATTGACAGATCATATTGCCAAAAATCGATGATTAGAATTCCACTTTTTCGAATCTTGCTATGATAGCAATATCTTCTCTACAACCATATTGCTATTTGCAAACAGAATCGACCCGATTATGTGGTAATTTATTAAATTCAGCTAGAGCAGCGTGAGTAAATTTTTTTTGGCCAATTATAGAAGTAGCAGAATCAAGATGAAATAAGTTTGATTGTCTCGTGTGATGACCATGAATTTCTGAGTTTCTTATCAAAATAAAATTGGATTATTGTTAATTATATTATATGAAACTTTAAGAGAATCTATTTTATGTAATTCATCCAATGAAAATTTTTCTGTTATGGCATACAGATCATTTGTTGGGATATCAAATGAGAGGCGATACAATACTTTCAGTGCTTTCTTATAAAGTGCAGATATTTTACTGAAATAATTTTTTGAACAAGATCCCCAAACGTTTATCATATAGGTAATACGACTGAGTATATGAGAATGAAGTACTATGTTTATGACTCTTTTGTCAAGTTTAGGACATCTTCGCAAAGCTCCAATGATCGGAGATATTTTTTGTATCAGAACCTCTATATGCTTGTCCCATTTCAATTTTTCATCAATCCACATACCAAGATACTTTATTTGTGTAGTTCTTTTCAATACTTTATTTTTAATTTGGAGATTGAGACTAATATTCTGTTTATTTTTTTGATGGAATATTATATATTCAGTTTTATTGGTATTAATTGATAAAATGTTTGAATGAAGCCATTTTTCAAATTTTTTCAAATCTTCGTTAATAATATTTTCTAGAATGATGGGGTTTTTGTTTTCGTATAAAAGTACAGTATCATCTGCATATATAGTATAATTACCTGACAATCCAATTTTAGAAATATTTTGAATATATAATAAATACAAGATGGGTCCTAGAACAGATCCCTGTGGAACACCTTTACTTATTGGAAATTTATTAGACTCTGATGTATTTTGAATAATGAATTGGTCACTTTTGAAGGGGAAGTCCTAGTCACGAACTAAAGTGCTCAAAGAAAAGAAAAAAAAAACAAGTGGACCACTGAAATATTCGACAATTCTCAAACTGCCATATCTTTTTAGAAAATGAATGGATTTTCAATCGGAATGCAGTGCTTGGAAGATGCGATCTTTCTGTTCAAGATTCCTCGTTCAAAACTTTTTTTTATTTTTCTATTAAGCGTTTTTTCGAACTTTGGAGCCAATATCTCGAAACGGTTTTGTAATTTTCCATATTCCTCATATAGGATGTTGAAAATCGATGATTTTTCATTTTTAGGTTCATATCGCATCATATCCGATTTTAAAATTATGCAAGCCACATTCAACGTATTTTGCCACTCTATACGATGATATACACATCCTAGAAAATGGATTCATATTGCGTTGAAATCATCGACAAATTCAACAGAAGAATTAATTTTTTTTCAGAAATGTTCAGAATTTGGTGAAATCGTCTGTTCAGTTTGGTGCTGCCATAACCATATGCTATGCTAAACACAAATCCTTCATTTCGCTCGATTGGTCTGCTCAGTATGTCGAATTGATTTCGTGATTTTTCAGATAAGGCAAGCCAAGGGGGCACAAGGAGGACCTTCTGGATTTTTCTGACCAATTCATACAATAACGATGCTACAATGGTTTTAAGATATTCCTGAGCTGACATGAAGTCAAGAAACCTATTTATCACAAGGTTTTTCATCGCGTATTCGGAAATCAATCGGAAAAGTCTTTTTTGTTGTAATCAACACTCATTTACGCAATTAATACCACTGCAACACCCAATATAATGCCTCCTGACGAACCGATGATGACAGTTGTCGAAATATTCATCGTTCACTTATTGACACGAAAAAATCGGTTTTGGAATTGAATCCGAACGTGAATTACTGTTTCCGAGGTACATTTCAAACGCTTATCATTTTGAAACGGCTTGACCGATTTTCACAAACAAAGCGAAGTTGGATAGAGAATCGAAAGGCCTTCAAAACAAGGTACCACGCGACCCCTCTCCATATTTGAAAAAACATGTTGATGGTGCCCACTCGACACTAGGTCACGTGACCACAACCATTTCCATGCCAAATAGTAGTGATAGAGGTACCTGTTTGCCTGAATTTTACCCCACCTCGCTAGCTTGTTCCGTTCAAAGGTTAAAGGAGTGGGAGGACTTTCCATGTCCTCACTGTATATGTATAGATTGTGGGTATTCAAGGGAGGGGTAATCGGTTACTGGGCAAAGTCGTGGAATCTATCGCATCCTACAGTCACAGTCATAGATCTATGGTACAGTCGATCATTTCATAGTTGCTCTTCACTAAGTTATTCAAGTTTCCAATACCTGAACTTCGATTTTTTTATTCATGGGTCCTGAATAAGGGAATATCAAAATGATTTTCCTGCTTCAGAAATAAGCATATTCCTAGATAGTTCAGCAACTCACAGATAGACAGACTCGAGCAGATTCAAGAAGAATAGAGAAATTGGCCATATTTTGCTGAATTTCGCTAGCACCGCCTACATTCTACATGGAGGTGAATCATCTTGTTAGTGTAAATAAATGATTGATTGATTGTCTTTATTACCCCAAAAACTGTATCTTCATATAAATCTTCATTTGACAAAATCCATGACAATCAACAACCACAGATGCTCCTATTTTTCTCATACCATAGGTTACTAAATAATAAATATATTATATAAAATCTCCCCTCTTTTGAGGAAGCGATCATGTATCATATAAAATGTTTAAATCTCTACGGAAAATTACCAATCTCAACATTTTCATCTGGACTGATATCATTATTTTCACTTTCCATGTTTTCACTGAAACTTTCATTCTTTTTTAAACTTTCATGTTCAAGATCATTTTCTAGATTATCATTATCATTCCCATTCATACAAAAAAAAGGTGTATTCATTGATTTTCGTATATCGAAATTATTTCTCCTTTTTACTCTTCCATTTTCATCCTCAATCAAAACTGATCGTGGTGCAGTATGATTTTGGATTACTTTTGCAGGTTCCCACCTATTGTTATTTCTATAAACCACATTATCACCGGGACCATATGAGCAAACTTTTCTTCTTGAATTTCTATCATAATAAAATTTATTTCTTTCGGCAACTTTGTCTAATGTTAATCAAGGGTTATATCAATCAATCAGTATATGAATGAAATTAAATAGTAGTCAATCAAAACTGATCGTGGTGCGGTATGATTTTGGATTACTTTTGCAGGTTCCCACCTATCGATATTTCTATAAACCACATTATCACCGGGACCATATGAGCAAACTTTTCTTTATGAATTTCTATCATAATAAAATTTATTTCTTTCAGCAACTTTGTCTAATGTTAATCAAGGGTTATATCAATCAGTTTATGAATGAAATCAAATAGTAGTCAATTGAAACTTTCATTATACCTGTTAATTTTGTTCGAAACTTTGTAAGATTACGTCACGTTTCGCCAGTTTAAAAATTTGGCGATATCGAGGGATTTCTAAACTCCTTCTAATAGGCAGTGATTCCACCATTTCTATACAATTATATCATTACCTCGGCGTGGCTGGCTGCGTCCATCAAGACGTCCACCGTCTCCTCGAACGAGCACCTCATGAGCGCCCCTGTATCTTGTCTGTTGATACCGTGACGCGTGATGGCCATCAAGTGACCTTTGGCCGTCATCACGTCGCACAGCAACGCCAGATGGCGGTAGTTGACGTACAGGCCGTAGAACTGCAGGACGGCGTTCATCTCTTTTTCCACAGATTTACGTACCGCCTCGATGCCCAATACCTGGAATTGTTAAAATGAAATAACAGATCTTCATATTTTCCGAATACTCTGCATAACGATATTGGAGTTCCTCAAGGATCAATCTTAGGTCCAATATTGTTTTTATTGTATATCAACGAATTACCATCAATTATTTCAGAAGCATTCACATGCATGTATGCAGACGATACCACATTATTATTCACAAGTAAAAATGAAGCAGGAATCCAAGATAAAATAAACGGAACAACTGCTAGATCTCATAACTAAGAGATCCAGGATGAACATGTTATAAACAAGTTATGAGATCTAGCAGTTGAATGGGTGGTGGAAAAATTCCACTAAAGTATTGTCAAGAAGTACAAATGTCTATGGAATAACTTTCGTTCATTTCTAGATCTTTATTCATAAATTGACTTTTCCAAATTGAAACATCTTGTACAGCGTTTCGATCAGGTCAAAGTGGAGTTCATAGACTCTAGTTCCGGTAAAATTTGCATGAAACCGCTTAGCTTGCGATGCGGGCTAAGCTATACGCCCGGTATCGAGCATTGCCATTGCGGAAAATTGCAATGTTAGCATCGATTCCAAATATAAATAGATTCCGAATCGATAAGCCATTCATTACTGATTTTGATTATTATTGATCACCCATTCTTCATTACTGATTATTCATTATGATTATTTGATTCATTACTATTTGATTATTACCAATTATAATGCATTTCGATAACACTTTACTTTATTCCGTAATTGAGTTACTAATTCACGAGTTGCTGCCAAAAAGTGTACCGTCCTCCCGACTTTGATCCTGCTGGTCAACCCCATGTTAGATGTCATAATGTAAGTACTGTTTTCCCTGTTCTATCTGATTTGTTTTTTCTGTGTTGTGTTCCGTTTGGTAATTTACTATGGTTTGTCTCAGCTACTTTGCCATGTGGAAAGCATTTATTCACGACTTTCCCATTAAATCAATAAATGTTAATTTTATACGAAAACTAGCTTGACTCTTCATTTGGAGATGAATATGGTTGGGTGGTAATATGATCAAAATCCTCTCATCAAGCCAAGCGAGTAGCCAAGTTACGATCCATTAGAGGGCAACATCTGAGTTGCGACATGTGGTGGACACGCCGTTTGCCAAATAATCTACCAAAACCATCTGAGTTGCGACAGTATGTCAGGTAGTGCCATCTGTCAGCAAAGTGGTTTCACATGTAGTACCACTCTGTAGCGTATAGACGTAGGGGTCTGTACGTGTGACTATAGATGGCAGCGCCATACAGTGTGTGTCGCGATTTCTGTATCAAACCTTAGAGCTTTGCCACTAGATGGCTACAACATGACTTGAACTTCATGTTATACCCTGCAAACCGAACAACGTCTATTTTATGTACTCAGTTAACCTGTCGAAGCCAATGGTTAGTATTAATGATACCAAAGTAGATGCTTCAAAAAGTACTACATTGTTAGATATAACCATGAACAACAATATATCTTTTAGTATTCACTGCAGTAAGCTGAGCAAATCAATGAATTCAAAATGTTACCAAATCAGGGTTCTCAGAAATGTTTTGGATGATCGAGGTCTGAAACAATATTACTTTGTTCAGATTCAGTCTAGATTATTATATGGAATAATGTTATGGGGGAACTCAACAGGAGTACAGGACGTATTCTTATGAAATCGTGACATCAGTTTTTACTCATGGTACATGGAAAATTACCGTGGCATTATTGATGATTCAAGCACCTAAAAATCGACCGAAAAATTCTGAAATCGGAAGGTATTTGAGTGATGATTCTATTTGAGAAATAAAAAAAAATAGTCCACTCGCGTATTACAATGATAAAAATAACAAAAATCTATTGATGATGAAACAAAGTAGGCCCCAGGAATGAAGTATAAATTTTTCCAGAACTGCTACGGCGGCTGCAACCGCAGCGGCAGCAGCGCTTCAATCTATAAATCCTGCATTAGGGTTAGTACTTCAAAATAATTAATAGTATATTATGTAACAAGTGTTATAAACGTCCTTTTAGTAACGAGTGTTTAATAAACGAGTGTCTAGAAGAGTTTATAAACGCGTTACATACTATGATTTTTCTACGAACTCCGAAAATTACATTAACATACCTGCAATTCCTGCTAACCTACAAAATAATTCGAAAGGAATGGGAATTGAGAATATAATACATACAACTAACTGCATGCAACCAGCGAGACACGTATAAGTGATATTGGTTGTAGATGTGTCCAGTCCATTGCTTACTAACCTTTGTTTCACGTTTATTGTCATGCTTAGCGCAAAATAAATAAATTGTTCTCAAAGATGGATGCTTCATTTTTACATTTCTTGGAGATATGCAAGTACCAGAACATTCTCTTCGAATTCACTTTCGTCTACTTTTCGCATATATTTGAATTCTGATACAAACGAATATTGTTTGAATAATTCTGATACAAAATTCGAAAATAACAGTTGGGTTAATACAATTGACAGGCCAGACATGTCTCAAATTACTGAAGCTGTGTTTAATGAACTGCGTTGCCATGGTAATGTCTTTAAGAAATTGTGTTGCCATGGAACGTGTTTCAAATTTTGAATAAATCACAGATCGTCAATCCGTTATTAATCGATCATTTAGCGTGGTACGTATCCGTACGCTAAATGCCCTTTTGGTTATGTGAGTAGAAAATAGTAGATTGTTTTATTAGGATCAAAAGTGACACTTTGTTTGACAAGCGAATTTTGCATTTGCGAGGCGGAGCGTTTAGCGAAGCCGAGCGATTCGAACAAAGTCACTTTTGATCCGAATGAAACATGCTATTTTTTCTGCAACCGAAACAATTAACTCAAATAAACATGTGAAGTAATCACCAATGTCGTGCCATATGTAGGTATGCAATGCAACAAATATTGACAAATAATCCATGTGGTGGGAATATTCTACCTGCATTAACAGCAGGTTAGGTTTTCTAGGATGATGGAATTGTAGTTTTAATATAAATACAATCACAGAGTGACATATTTGTGTATGGACCAGGTGCTCTAATGGCAAATACCGCGCCAGTGCCAGCTATAGGAACAAGACGTGGAAAATGTTAGGTTAGTGAGCATATCAACAATGATAATAGTGATTATTTTTATTCCTCTTCATGCTATAATAATAATAATAATAATAATAATAATAATAAAGGTCTTTTTTGTTTTCAACACAATAATTACAATGATTGAAATAACAATTAGAATTATGTGAAAATAAAGGGCGAAGTTCAGCTCATTCAGCGAAAACTCCACTAAATGAGTTGTTCTTCCACTTAACCCAAAAAATGTCTCCGAAGGTCTATTTAAGAATACAAACAAAATAACCGATCGTAAAAACATAAATAAAAAGAATATATATATATAAATGTGTATCTATATCGATGAATAAGGTACTATGATAATAAATTAAAAAAGAAAAGAAAATTGGGAAATAAAATCAGTTACAATTTCTCATTGATTATTCTCAAATAAGTATTTCTTCAGTTTTACTTTGAATACATTGAGCTTATCTTTTTTAATATGATGGGGGATGAAATTGTAGACTTTAGTGATTCGATAGCTAAATGAACGTGTAAACTTTTGAGTTCTGAAAAAAGGTGGTAGTATTTCTTCAGTTTTACTTTGAATACATTGAGCTTATCTTTTTTAATATGATGGGGGATGAAATTGTAGACTTTAGTGATTCGATAGCTAAATGAACGTGTAAACTTTTGTGTTCTGAAAAAAGGTGGTGTGAGAGTACCTTTGAATCTGATATTCAAGTTGTGGACATCCGTTCTGTGAGTAACTTTCCGATGCAAATAAGATGGCATTTTTGTTGTGAGAATTTTATGGAATAAACAAGCATCGTGAAGAAGTCTTCTGTTTTCCATATTCAACCAGCCTGCCTGGCGTAGCTTATGTGAAATTCTTTCACGCTTTCTGATCCCATAAATCAATCGTAGACAAGAGTTTTGTACTTTTTGAATTTTGTTTTTATATGTATATGTCAAATTAGGGCCATATAGGGTGTCGGCATAGTTGAATAAGGATAAAACAAGTGATTCAGTCAATATGATTTTTACTGCGGTTGTTAAAAAATTTCGATTGCCATATATGAGTTTTAAGGATGAATATGCACGTTGTATCAGTTTATTGACATGTTTTTCAAACCTCAGATCCACATCAAGTAGAACACCAAGACTTTTCGCTTCATTAACTGAAGTGAGTGACTCATTGTGAATTCTTATATCAATATCATCTGCAATTGACGTTCATTTTTAGTAGTGAATATTATCATATTTGACTTACTTGGATTTATGAGTAAGCAGTGATCGGTTGCAGATTTAACAAAAGAATCGATATCACTATTGATGAAAATACAGGCATTGGCAATGTTTTGATGATGAAAACTATAATAAAGTTGTACAAAGATAAAGATGGACAGAACAATGTTGTAAGCATTTAACCAAGTGAGCCGTATACATTGTGAATAGAAGAGGCCCTAAGATGGATCCTTGGGGCACTCAAGATTTCAGAGTCAGATAAGTAGAGCTAGCATCCATCACCTATAACCACTTTTTGTTGCCTATTTGAGAGATATGACCTCAGCAAATTTATTGAATTTTGCGAAAGTCCCAGATAGTGAAAAATTGCGAGCATCAGATTATAATTGATGGTGTCGAAGGCCCTACTGAAGTCAAGTAAAACTAAAGCTGTGCATAAGCCTTGGTCAGTAGCTCTGCAGATATCATCTACACTCTATCTATCTATACTGTGTTTGACTTGATAATCATATGAAGCTAAACAATATCGTTGTTTGAGACAAAAAAAACTATTGCTTGCCGTGATTATTCAAAAACAAGTTATCCATCCCGAGAATAACGAATGAAATACAAATCAAGCAAGTATTTGAATCTTGAAGGCTTCCCTGATCAAAACAAAAATACTTAACTGAGATGTTTATAATTCCAAGGTGTATTTATATCTCCAGCATGGGTATGAAATGACAAATCTGCTGAAATCGGAAACAAATCAGGTATGCGTCTCAACCCAAATAACCAACCGTCACAATGTTGTTCATTCTTGATGACGTCCAGTACATCCTTTTTAGTTCCTAGGAGCTAAAGTTCAACTTTAGCTCCTAGGAACTAAATATGTTGCCTAGCAACATACCAATTTTTGTGTCAGTAATAGAAACGTCAATTTAAGAGCTAATTTTGGTATCAAAATGGACGACTTTTGTGTCGGTTGCAGAAAAAATAATGTATGACTGAAACAGCCCCATTTTGGCTTACCGAGAAAATCTCGCAGATATCGTTGGAGAACGTCCGCACAGGATCGACGTCCCTCTCCGACAACACCTTCATCATGCTGGTGCCGTCCGTCTCCAGCAGCCATTCGGCGATCGCCTTGAACTCGCCCGTCTCCGTGATCACGATCCGCTTCTTGGAATCGGTTTGCGGCAGATGCATGTACACCTTGGCTATGGCCTCGATGCCCTGCAGCGTCATGTCGCTGAGCATGTTCGCCTCGATGCACCGCAGGAACATGTCGTCGTCCATTTTGTCCACGTCCTCGTCGGCGCCTAGAAAAAAATCAACAAATGGTCACGTTTCAGGAAGATATGTCGATTCATTCATCTGAAGTCAATGAACTCAATATTTATTAACAGCTGGAAGGGAGACGGCCGGTTTCTCGGATAGCACAGAGTGTGTCAGGGGCAGCTGCAACAAAGATAGGCGGATTGGTGTACAAATTTTCCGTTATCCAATGATTGAAGTACTTGAGATCTTTTTTTTTTTTTTCATCTGAACAGACAAAAAAGTGAAGACAGAACCTCATTGGTTTTGTTATGTGAAATATCGCTAAATTTGGCGTGTTTTGTTTCTTCAAAAGGACTGAATTTTATTGGTGTGAATTGTGTTGCCTTTGGATGCAAAACAAGCAAGACAAATAGACAATGTGTTTCATATGGACATTGATTTGCTTACAACTTCCAGCTCCCATGTAAGTTTCAAAGTTTATTGATAATGAAACCCACAAACTGTTTCATTCAAGAAGGCCTATATTCTATTGCAAAGAAAAGTGAAAACACTGAAACAAAAAGTAAAAAGGAGAATGACAATCTTGATGAGGCACTAAAAAAACATTTTGAAGGTAAAAACTACAAGTTAAAATTTTTACTCAAGAGCTATATCATAATATTGTCTTTTCAGATTTGCCTTTAGAGTTTCTCCTTATTATCCAGAAAGGAAAAAATGAAGGTGTACACCGTTACTCTCAGACATGACGTTCATGGCACATTGACCATTAGAAGGGCATGATTATATTATGTAATGGGAAGCTTTCTTTTATTTCAATGTTCATGTTTTGTTCAGGAATCAGGTATGGAACCGTAAGATCGCGCATTCGAGTTATAAGATATGATGATCATGAGTTCTGTGGCCAAAATTTCTCACCTTCGCCAAACTTTCCGTCATCGCTATGCATAATCCTACCTACCTATCTGATGCGCAACACCAACTTCTCTACATTGTCATCGTTGAAAATTCAATTCTATGCAATTTTTGTATAGTTTGGAAAATATCCGAACATAAAAACGCTATGGCTGTATTTGTATGGCCCTATATAATAGTTTGGTACTTGTATGAAACATAAGATTTATAAATAAAACAATAAATATCGGATTACAATTCGAATTACTATTCTCGGAGATATTGGTCCTTCGAGCCGGATAAATATGTTCGATGCTTGATAAATAGTGGACTTGAGACTTGATGAATAGTGGACTGCGCGTTATAGTTGTGAAATATGAAGATGAGTTCTTTAGCCGCAACATGTCTCACCTTCGCCAAACTTCCCGTCATCGCTATCCATAATCCTGATGCAAAACATCAACTTTTCCGCGATAAAAAAAAGGGGGAAATCCGCGTGGGGTCGAAATCAAAGCCAACTTTGTATTTTTCAAATTCAAATCATGTTTGGCTTCGACTTCAGAAAATAGAAAGTACCTCTAGAAAATGTTTACCGTTTGGAAAAATATCCGAAAATAAAAGCAGTATGGCTGTTCGATACTTGATAGATATATAAGTAGTGGACTGTACTTGTATGACTCTATTAAAATTAAAATAGTTTGGTACTTGTATGACCCTATATAGTATCAGATTTTCATCTGTAAACATGAATACATGTTGTTGAAACATAATATTCATCAATAAAATCAATAAATGAAGGATTGCAATTCGAATTACAATTAATCATTCCAGAATTACGTCATTTGACAAGTTGCTGAGGGGCAAACATTGCATCTTGTCAAGATTTGTCATTAAAAACCTGAATTAGTGGGATCGTTTTCCTTGGAATCCGAGTTGAAACCAGAAAGAATTTCATAATTTTGTTTGGTGAAACTGTTATTATATTGTGGATGTGGCAGGGACGGCCAGAGCAATGCTCATCAAAGGTAACCTAACAGATAGTTTGTGTGCCCCTCAAAAAACCATGTCAAAATCACGTGTTCTAGAATGATCAATTCTTATATCAATCTTGGTCCTTCGAGCCGGATCAAGATATGAAGACTGAGTTCTGTCTCACCTTCGCCGAACTTCCCGTCATCGCTATTCATGATCCTGATGCGCAACACCAACTTCTCCGCATTGTCATCGTTGAAAATACAATTCAGATCGTCCCCAAAACCAGCGTTGATCTTTTCGGCGATCTGCTCCATCGTCAGCTTCTTGTCTGTCATCCGCTTCCTGTCCAGTTCGATACGGAGCAACCAGGGGGAAATTCTGGTGGGGTCGAAGTCGGGCATTTCGTAGTAGACGTTGACGAACTCCTGGTCCTCAGTGATGACGGTGTTTTGCGGATCGGGGTCATAGTAGATGGCCGTGTTGGCCGTCACTTTACGCAGGGTGGTGTGTTCCAGTCTGGAACATCGGAAGAATTATTAATAACATTTATTGATCCCAAGAAACATTCATGCTCATGGAGGGGCACAAGGGAAATAAATAAACAAATCGAATATTCGATAAAATGGAAAATAAACAGTTTAATCAGAATAAATATATATTGAGGAGAGTTAAATTGATGAAATAATATATTCCTTCAGTTATACAGAGTATGTCACGACGACATATATCGGGAATGAGTAGCAAGAAATTTATGAAATGTGCATGCTTATATTTGAGATCACGCTCTCTTCGTTTGAAATATTTTCGACAATGCATTGTTGCAGCTTCTACAAGAAAGTAGCAACAATGCAGTGTTGCAGCTTCTACTAGAAAGTAGCAACAACTTTGTTATTGCAAATGGAATATTCTGTATTTCATTGCATTTCCAGATTCTCCCTGATGAGCTGATTTCATCAATACAACACACTTGAGGCCTAGCAGGAATGATTACATAGATATAGGGTGTTCAAAATCGAGATTTTTCAACTTTTGGATTTTTTTGTGTAGATACTATTCATTATTGGTCAAAACGGCTGGAATGCGTGGCCGCGCAAGAGCAAAAATACAGAAATAATGGCTCATATCATCTGAGTCGGGTCTTAATCGAAGTCAAATAGGAAGAAAACACGTCGTTCGACAAAGACGAAAAATCTTTGAGGAAATGCAGACAGAAAAGAAGGAGAAAGTCATAAAGAAAACATGCAATTGTTAACATTACAAATTGAAATCGAGAGAGAATTGAATCTAATTAGAGAAAATAATGCATTATGAAAACAAGGTTTAATGTATTTGTTGGAAAAATATGCTTTCATGAATTGACGAAATGTTCTGTGATATATAATGGTTGAGCATTCAATGCTGCTATTTCATTAGGGATATCAGCTGCATTGTTCACATTATTCTCTCCTCTGCATATCTTCATCAAATCACCAGCGGTTACTGATAAATTTCCCATTGCATATATAGAATCATAGTGCAAAACATCAATTCTCCTATTGGTTTGATGTGACCATCTCTGTAATATTTTTCCTCAAAAATATATGAAGGGTATCAAGAGGACAATAAATGCATATGTGCAATTTTCTGTAGGCTTCGTCAATTGAAATCTCTGCAACTATTCTATATCATCATATTTTTGGAGACACTTTTGCCTTTAGTCGGCATATTTTCTCTTTCTTGGAAACCATTATATTCTCGTCTCCACTTTCTCACGAGGAACTACAACTACTATTGCCAGAACTTTCCATCGAACGATTCATTTCAAACGAATACCTTGGAAATGTCAATCGTAACCTCCAATATCATGAAATAAATCAGTATAAAGTCGACTTCAACTATTAAAGGGGCATATTTGAGACTTGACCAATTGACCATTAAAATTCCTTTAAAAATAAATTATGGAATCGGATCCTCCACATAAAGTATACTTTCCAAATGAAAGAGAACTTAAAGTTGATTGTGCAATTTTCTGTAGGCTTCGTCAATCGAAATCTATGGAAGAATTCTATATCATCATATTTTTGGAAACACATTTGCCTTTACTCGGCATATTTTCTCTTTCTTGGAACCATTATATTCTCGTCTCCACTTTCTCACGAGGAACTACAACTATCATTGTCAGAACTTTCCATTGAACGATTCATTTCAAACGAATACCTTGGAAATGTCAATCGTAACCTTCAATATCATGAAATAAATCAGTATAAAGTCGACTTCAACTATTAAAGGGGCATATTTGAGACTTGACCATTAAAGTTCTTTTAGAAATAAATTATGGAATCGGATCCTCCACATAAAGTACACTTTCCAAATGAAAAAAAAATTGAGGTTGATTGTGCAGCCGGCTGATACAGCACGATATACAGTATGATGCAAATGTATGGAATAAATTCATTATTTCAGAAATGGGCGACATTTGAAAAAATTACAAAAACACGTGAGTTTTAATTTCTGAAGCCTCATCTCATGATATTCATATGAGAGATGTTACGTCACCGGTGTTGGAGTAAAGACGTAATAGACGATTTTTTCAAATACAAATAGGGGTCATGTGACACCTTGATTGAAAGGTCTACCGATCGTCTATTCAACAGTCAAAATGTTGCAGAAGAAGGTTTTTTTTCGAAAGTCGTCTTGTTTTGAAATGAATTTATTCCATACATTTGCATCATACTGTACATATATAACAGGAGAAGCAATCGACCTACTCCCAGCACAGTGTAAAAAGAATTGACCAAGCCGTGCAAACGACCTACTCGACCGGCTCACCTGCACAGCACGTTCTTCGCCTTTTCCGCGTCTCTAGCAGCCGCCCCCGTCAGGAAGACGGTGAGCGAGGGCGCTTTCGGCTTCTTCGATATGTTGATGATCTCCTTGAGCCGGGGCACCCCGAGGGTTACGTTCTTCGAGGACACGCCGGCGAAATGGAAGGTGTTGAGCGTCATCTGGGTGGCGGGTTCGCCCAAGGATTGGGCGGCGAGGGCGCCCACCATCTCGCCGGGGTTGGCTTGCGCCTGCTGAAATCTAAAGGAAGACATTTCAATCAAGAATGTCAATTTTGTCATCAGCTTTACAACAGGAATTTACTATGAATTATCAAGAAAGCATAAGGACCATAACATAATAATGATAATCTTCATCATTTCCAAGAAACATATATGTTTATAGCAGGGAAAATTATGAAAGAGCAACTAGAAAAACAATTAGATAATCAGATAATCATTTTTTAAATCATATACATAGTACATAATATAATTAACACATAATTTTTTCTTCAGTCTGGCAGGTAATTTATTATAGAGAATTTTTTCATTGTATGATATAAATCTTTTACCCATATCTGATTTAACTTTGATGAGAGTTACCATATCTTTTTGTCTGGTTATGTATTCGTGTTTATGACTATTGACTTCAAAATTTAGATTTGAATGTTAATTTAATATTTTGAATTTGTAAATGGAGTTAATATCTAACAGTTGCTTAGGTTTATAAAGATTTTTTGTTGGTTCCAAGGAACCTAGTTTGTATATACATTTAATAACTTTGATTTGAAGGATTTTGATTGGCTTTATAATTGCATTGGTGAATGAAATTGAAACCAGATCCTTTATAAAGCCCTTAAATTGAATTAATTAATTATACCCAAGAAAGAAAAATAGAAAATATTAGTGATGGATTAGCTCAGGATCAATTTTACAAGTTGTAATACGGTTAAGGAATGGTCGAACGAGTCATAATACAGGGTCTTGCCAAGATTGTCAGAAAAATCTTCTGCACAAGATTTCTTATTTGCCCAATATTTGTTTTTAATCCCATCGAATAGAGCTAAAAATTCCATCTACAGCCATGTATAACATAAGGACATCATATGAAACAACTCCAACAAACAGTAAAAACATTTTGAAAAATAATTCTTAAGGAAAATTTGAAAGAATCGCCAAAAATGCTTATTTCTTGATGATTATTGATTGATTGATTGTCTTTATTGCCCCAAGAAACATTTCTGTTTATGATAGGGATACATAAATACATATAAAAAAATAATAATAAAGGGTTAACTATAATGAATTCCACTCAGTGGAAACGAATTAATATTGTGTCTTATAAGATTAAAGTTATGAAAAGAGAAAGGCAAGTTGTAAATGTGTATCCAAGACGGGTGGAAAAAAATGATGAAAATTCGAAATATCTGGATAAATAATGGTTTGTTCACATTCTCATCATGAAATTCGCGTTTTTCAGAAAAAAAATCCTATGTGACAAATAGAATTTTTGAAAAAATAAAAAGAACAGTGTTACGGTTTCATTTTGCAATATCCTCAGTGAAGCAAAATTCCTGTTACGAATAGAATTTTTGAAAAAATAAAAAGAACAGTGTTACGGTTTCATTTTGCAATATCCTCAGTGAAGCAACCCAAGCACTGAATTAGAGGGTGAATCGGTTACAAATCAGCTGGCCACAAAGTATTTATAAGTGAAACACTACCCATCGCTGTACAATAAAGTAATTGTTTTTCCACCCCCTGAGTTTCATTTTATCCTGGAATTGTTGTTACTATCTTACCAGGTTTGTTTTGCAGGAAATTCATGTTATAACAGATCAGCTGATAGCACAAAATTACCCACATTCAAGTTCCCAACTTCAAAGCTGCGATACACAATACGAAAAAAAAAATTACCTGGTCTCGATTTCTCCAATCAACCACTCGAAAGCCTCAGTACTGAGCCGAAACTCCTCAGAAACGCATTTCGTGCACAAAGTCGACCTCACCAGGCACTGGAACAGCAACGTGGCGTTCTCGTTGGCCTGCCGCGACAGCCGATCGTCCCCAGCCACGATCACGCACTTCTTCAGCAGTTCTCGAACACCTTGTATAACACGCAGGGGCGACAGGTCGGTCGGCGCGCGCTTATTGATATGGAAAATTTTTTGGACGTTCCAGATCATGCGGTTCAGGTTGCAGGGCAAGACGACTTTCGATTCGCCGCTGGGGAAGATCTGTCGCATCGCTTCTCTGTCCTTAGAAACGAAAATTCCGATAATTTTAATGAATGTTTCATCAAATCTAGACATTTTCATTGAAATGTCAGGTAGCAAAGTGGCTCTTCCTTTCAACTCAGAAATAATTTTAGGTTCTATAGCGCAAGGTAATCAAATCTAGACATTCATTTTCATTGAAATGTCAGGTAGCAAAGTGGCTCTTTCTTTCAACTCAGAAATAATTTTAGGTTCTATAGCGCAAGGTACTATTTCGTTCTAGACCGTTAATGTTGAACAATTTGTAATATGTCTTATTTGTGAATTTTTTTTTATTGCTTTCAGTAGCTATCTAACACCTTGTAAAACTCTCAGGTGCAACAGATCGGTCGGAGAACGCTTATTGATGTTGAAAAATGTTTGGACGTTACAGATCATGCGGTGCAGGTTGCAGGGTAGGACGAATTTCGATTCGCCGCTGGGGAAGATCTGTCGCATCGCTTCTCTGTCCTTAGAAACGAGAATTCCGATAATTTCAATGAATATTTCATCAAATCTAGACATTTTCATTGAAATGTCAGGTAGCAAAGTGGCTCTTTCTTTCAACTCAGAAATAATTTTAGGTTCTATAGCGCAAGGTACTATTTCGTTCTAGACCGTTAATGTTGAACAATTTGTAATATGTCTTATTTGTGAATTTTTTTTTTTAATTTCTTTCAGCAGCTATCTAACACCTTGTAAAACTCTCAGGTGCAACAGATCGGTCGGAGAACGCTTATTGATGTGGAAAAATGTTTGGAAGGAAAATTCCGATAATTTTAATGAATATTTCATCAAATCTAGACATTTTCATTGAAATGTCAGGTAGCAAAGTGGCTATTTCTTTTCATTCAGCTAAGAAATAATTTTAGGTTCCAGAGCGCAAATGCTATGGTCTATTCTCATAAAAGTTTAAATATTATGGTTTGGAGTAGAGCTAGGGTCTTCAAGAATTTTCATAACTCAAAAACGAATTTTAACTTATATTTGAAATGGACTTTCGAGAAAGCTGTCGGCCTACTTCTAGAGAAAATAATATACTAACAGTACCGTCTATCTTCATTTTGAAATGCGTTATGTTTGTGAGGAATAACTTGGAGCTTTTTTTCAAGAAACGGATCCGAACATGAACATAACTCACGAAAAGGTGATCTTCTGCGGATCCCACATCACAAAATGACACTCTATAAAAATTCCCCTCATTATAATGCCATTACCTCTTATAAGTTAACTCACGGAGTCAGAAGTATCAAGAGTGATGAAATATTTCATGGAAAAGTTAAATTTTTCCTACTACAGAAAGCATATTATAGTTACCAAGAATTCTTGAATGATAATATTGTCAATGTATTCTAATTGTGCTGGTCTGAATTTTATTTCTTTATATTCCTTCTGTACATACTTTAGGACATTTTATATATTTTATTTATACATTTATTATGTTTTTTGACATTCCATATGTACCAAGTGTATCAAAAATGGTGAATGAATATTATTATTATTTGTTGTGATGGTTGTTCATATTCGCAAGACTTGTAAAGTCAGCCACCAGAGGCAGCACACTTCGTTTTTATTTTTTAATTTTTTTATTTATTTTTATTTCAGTTATTGCATTACATTCTCTTCTTCATTGATACATTTCATACAAATAATATATAAAGTATAATTAATTTTCTAGTAGGAATGACATGAATGATCAGACAGTAATTTCTGGTATAAGATCATTCATGAAGTAGTATCGACTGTTGTATAATTGAAATTACAAATAGTGAACAAAACTTACATATCATTAAGATATCTCAAAATAACAGTCATATTATAGTGAACAAGAAGGGGAAAAATAAAAACAGTGAAAAAAAAAGGAAATTCATGGTCTTTCAGCTTTGATCATTCCTTTGCATATAAATATATTTCTTCACTTTATTTTTGAATTGCATATGGGCTGTTTTTGATATCATCTGGTAATTCATTGAATTTCGAAATTGCCTCATGTGTAAATTTTTTTGCCCAAGTTTAGAATTTGCAGCTTCAAGATGAAACAAGTTATATTGTCTAGTCTAGTGTGATGATCATGAATTTCGTTGATCTCGCGAATTGGTCCTTACCTTTTGTAGTTGTTCCCATTCTCTTTCCAGCTCGGAGATGACCTCTCCCGAGCCCATGATCTGCTTGATGACCTCCTCGCCGAACACGCGACGCAGGTAGCGTTCGTTGCTCGGATCGAATCTGAACTTCCTTTCGAACGCTTTGTTACTCAATTTGACTGTGCGCAGGGTCTGGAATTCCACCATTTCTCCGCACAGCCCGTCCTCGCCATATCTGGGAAAATTCATTTTGTCATTCCATATGATAACTTATGTCTGACGCACTGCTTGTTGAGTCAAAACAATATCGCAAAGTTATCCCCACCATTCGCGATTTCATTTGATCGGTGTTGGGCTGCAGAAATTTTTCTGATGGCCTAAGAAAGTGTTTGGGATCACACGTTAAAAGGTAAGGCCCCCGTCATTACATGCTCGCACAAGTCTCTTGGAGACTTCTGAGGGTTGCTCGTAAGGGGGCAACCAGATGGCGTATAAGAACAATTTTAGAACACTTTAAGTTTTCAGATTGATGGCGTATATTTTTCAATCATTTATAAATGAATCGCAGTGTCCATCTATTGTTAGTTACTCTTAGCACTCGCCTGCAAATTTACAAGTCATTACCCCCAACATTTTCAATTTCATTAATTCATCCGTGTTTCGAGTTTTAGATTGTTGGCGTATACTTTTTAATGATTTATGCAGTGTCTCTCTGTTGTTAGTTAACCTTAGCACTGACCTGAAAATGTACAAGTTAGTGTCTGAGTTATTATCCCCACCATTCGCGATATCATTCATTCATCCGTGTTTGACGTTAAGGATTTTGGACGTATACTCTTCAATCATTCGCGAATGAATCCCGGCGTCTATCTATCGTTAGTCTCGAGATATCACTCACCTCAACTGGATAAGCTGCCCGACGGAATTCCTCACCGTCCCGTCATAATGGACCATAACACTCTCCATAGCCTTGATGAGCCTTCGCTGAATATACCCCGTCTCGGCCGTCTTTACGGCAGTATCGATAAGCCCCTCTCGCCCCCCCATCGCGTGGAAGTAGAACTCGGAGGGTGTGAGACCGGCCAGGTAGGAATTTTCGACGAAGCCCCTCGATTCGGGACCGTAATCGTCCTTGATGAAGTGGGGTAGGGTGCGCTTTCGGAAGCCGAACGGGATACGTTTGCCCTCGACGTTCTGTTGGCCCACGCAGGCAATGACCTGAAGAAACAGGGAACGTTTCGTTGAAAAATCGCACTTGAACTTATCCAAGATATTTTCAGTACGGCAGTGACCTCTACAATGTCTTTCAGAATGTTGGCATCCTATTATGTATGGGAAAAACTTTTAATAACAATTCATTCTGAAATTTTAATAATAATTTATTTCGAAATTTGACCTGCGCGTTAACTTCTACTGAAAGAAAACCGAGAAATGCGGTTGAGGTCACATGACTTGCACTACATGTCAAGTTACATTTTTTTCCTGTTTCAAATTTCTGTTATGTTTGAGGATTGAATTTGATGTATCCTCAAGTGTTTGGGAGCGAAATTTATTCAAATAGATTTTTTTCAGTACTAAAATGGTGTCAAAGTTGTCAATCAGAATATCATCAAACTACTTGACGTCTAACAAAAGTTTTGGACTTTTAGGAAACGAATCAATCTGAAAGTTGATTGCTACTACCTCAGCTATGAAATGTCTTCGACATTGGAGCAGGATTATTATTTTCTGAAAATCAAATTTTTGTCGATAATTGGTAATTGAAAGTTAATAGCATGATGAAACTAGAGTTCCTTAATATACTTGACACTGCTATTTAGATGTTTTTTTGTATATTAGAGTACGGACACTATGACAAGCACTGACAATCAGACATAACCACAAATGAATTGATGAAAACATGACATAAATTCCAAAGGTTTGTCAAATTGAGAGAATTAGGAGAGTCGAGCGCTGAAGTCCATTTATACCTACTTCCGAATGTCTTGGAAAACCTTTATTATTTATCCTAACTGAAATCAGCTGTTATTGTTGCCATATCATTTGTTCATTTATTAATTACTTATTACCTACCACTCTTGTACAAGTGAAATTGTTCCATACGAAATAAAAGTATGTTTCATTGGTTGAAATTCATCAGTTTTCACCCCATTCTGAACTTTTGTAATAAAAATATATACCATAGGAATACTATATGTATTTCGTTGATATATATTATGTACCTACTAACTTGATATCGAAATAAAAGTATGTTTCATTGGTTGAAATTCATCAGTTTTCACCCCATTCTGAACTTATGTAATAAAAATATATACCATAGGAATACTATGTGTATTTCGTTGATATATATTATGTACCTACTAACTTGATATCGAAATAAAAGTATGTTTCATTGGTTGAAATTCATCAGTTTTCACCCCATTCTGAACTTATGTAATAAAAATATATACCATAGGAATACTATGTGTATTTCGTTGATATATATTATGTACCTACTAACTTGATATCGAAATAAAAGTATGTTTCATTGGTTGAAATTCATCAGTTTTCACCCCATTCTGAACTTATGTAATAAAAATATATACCATAGGAATACTATGTGTATTTCGTTGATATATATTATGTACCTACTAACTTGATATCGACACATATCGACCTCCATTGAGGACCTTCAGCCTTATCATTCAATATTTCGAGAAGAAATAATTCTCTAATCAATTCATCGTACCCTTTTACCCACTCGAGGAGACGCTATGCACTCTCATACAAAAATCAAAGACAGAGAAAGATATATAGATGTACTCTTCCCAGGACTTGTGGAGGAAGGAAGATGCGAGGATCCTTTATACAAGCGAAAAACATATTCTTGTCCTTGTCGACAAAACATATGATTTGCTTCAAAATCGTTTGTGGTTATGTTTGATTGTCACTGCTTTTCTAGTGTCCGTACTCTAATATACAAATAACGTCAAAACAGCAGTGTCAAGTACATTTAGGAACACTAGATGAAACTACTGTTATGAAATAGTTTTGTCAGTCACATTTTTCTTAATATTACAGAAATTTCGTGAAAAAACTTGAGGATTATCAGAAGGAACTATTTTTCAGTATGAAAACTACATACAAAATGAGCATCGAATTTCCATGTAGATGGCAGAGTCACTAGTATTACAATAGCCATGACGTCGCGTACTGGATTATTTTTCCGTACTTTTTTTTATTTGTCGAATATTTTGAGACTTTTTGTTGAACTAAAACGTATTGTTGTGTTCAATGTCGATAAAACCATGTAGGGATCATAATTCGAGCTAGTTATTGACAACCCACCTGAGAAATGTTGATGTTGGACCCCTTGGCACCCGACACCACCATAGCCTTCAAGTTGTTGTACTCTGTTAGAGATTTCTTAGCAGAGCCTCCGGTCTTGTCACGGGCGTCGTTGAGGATCCTGTTCACCTAATAATAATAATAATAATGATATTTTTATAACCCATCTGACAATTGAAAATTGTGTTGGATTCGTCATTACAGACGAAAAGGAATAAAAATTACATAGGTAAATTAAAACACTCACAAATAACTTATGACCAAACAGAAACATATACAATACATTATTTAAAAATTACATGTTATACATTTGTAGATATTCACAGGTATTGAAATAGCATTTTCAAAAAAACAAGGGTAAAATATAGGATACTGAAGAAAGAATTTTTTATTCATCTAAGAGGACAATACATTACACATATGACAAAGATATAGTACAATGCACCATCCTATCACACCAATCAGTTAACAAAAAACAAAACGGACAAACAATGGACAATGACATGCAATAGAATAATAATTATATCTAAAAGGAACATTATCATATAGGACCATAATTTATATTAATAGGTACACACTTTTTTTTCAAATTCGAGGAATTCCTCAACACTATAAAATGCATTAAAAGTTAAAAATGAATGGACCTCCTGCCTGAAGTTTTTCACATTATTTGAGTTTACATTCATCATATTATCCATTATGTTACTAATCTTATTGAAGCACTTAATTCCAATGTGCTTCGGTGACTATTGACCTATGTGTAGCCGTGAGAATGGCTGATGGATAGTTGATTTTTGTCTGGTGTTATATGAATGTATATCTTCATTTGTGCCACAAGCTTCCTCATTTCCTTTGACATACAGTATTAAGTGAAAAATTAAAAGAATCTCTAATTTTTCAAAAAGTGGTTTACATGATGTTATTGGTGACACATTGTACATAGCCCATTATAGTGAATCTTTTCAGAGTGTATTCTTACCTGGTTCTCGAAAGTTTGACGTAAAGTGTTACCGGGCGTCGGTTCCAGTTCCATGTTGTGCGCCTTCTGGATCACTTCTATTACATCCTCTTTGGCCTTCTTGATCGCCTTCTGGATTTCGGTATAGGTTTGAGGATCGGCGATCGTGTCGCCAATACCGATACTGTGACCTAAGAAAAAGGAAAAAAAAACTGTTGAAAAGTATCATATTATTCAAGTCTTCATCACGTAGCCCAAATTGTTCGATAATCCCACCTGGAAAAAATTCTGACACTTTGGAACGTCATTTGAGTCAATATAAACCATTGATCTAGAATATCGTCGGTTAAATCGGAAGCAGACACAAACGTCCTTATTTTGAATGAAACACACTGTATTACGGTACATTTTCGAAATCTACAAATTATTTTGGAAACAAATCATGAAATGATATCCCTATAATAATTTTCAGGCATTTTCAAATTTCGATTTTTGTGAAAAATCTCTTGTTTGTATGAACTGATATATTTATAAATGTCTTTCTTGAAAATTTTCAAATTCACACCAAATCGAATATGCATGATGATCTTGAAGTGAGATTAATAATTTTATCAAAACGCATTCTGTGTAGACAAGACTTGTCATTTGGAGGTTTCTGGAAACTCTGTAAGTTATAGGTTTTCAATTTTTTATTTACCTTCGAGCAGTAGCCAATTGTTGATTGTAGTTTGAATGTTACCATAGAATCTGCCGCACACCTCATGTCCAAGTTCCAACATACAAATATGAAGTAAAGAACCTGAAAATAAATATAAAGTGGTGTGTATATCCATATATCTCTTTCTTTATCAATATTTTTTTATACTTGTTTTACTGATCTCATATTTTCTCTCACTATTGAATTCTCTCACTTTCTCTCTACATCTACAATGAAAAATTCAAAACAGCATTTTTTCTCCGAATATCACTTTCTCTATATCTTCTTTCTCTACCTCTATTTCTCACTCCTCATCAGTTTTTATCCCTAGACTCTATCTCTATCACTTTATTTATGTCTCACTTCTTCTCTTTTTCTCACTACTCATTACATTCTATCTCTATACTCTATCTCAATTTCTAGACTTGTTGTCTAACCCTCACTCTATCTAAAACTCTCACTCTTTCTCTAACTCTAACTCTCAATATATCCTAACTCTCACTCTATCTCAAACTCTCACCTTATCCCAAACTCTCATATCTCTCACTATTTCTCTAGACACTTTTGTCTAACTTTTACTGTATCAATAACCCTCACTCTTTTGAACACTCTTACTCTCCCTTTAACTCTCATCCTATCTCTCACTCTCATCCTATCTCTCACTTTATATCTATTCGTCACTCTTACTCTATGTCTCACTCTCAATCTATCTCTTACTGTCACTCTATCTCTCACTGTCACTCCCACTCTCATTCTATCTCTAACTCATTACTTTATCTCTCACTCTCACTCTCACAATATCTCTCATTCCACCTCTCACTATCACTCCATCTCCCGAATTTTTCTCTATCTCTGTCACTCATTCTCTGTCACTTTTTTCTATATCTGTCTCTTTCTCTATATTATCTATATCTCTCTTTCTCCCTCTTCTAACAGTGACCTCACTGTGGACTAGTTTTTTATCTCTCACTCATTCTCTAGATTTCTGTATCTGTAACTCTATACTCTTCCACTATCTTTTTCATCTGTATTTCTTCTTTCTCATAACAGTGACCAAACACCACTTCGTTCCCCTTACCTGCCGACGTCTCCAACGTCTTCTTGCACGAAACCCCCACTTTTCAACTATTTATCACTCTTTCTGTAAACTATTTTTCTATATCTCACTTATTCTCTAGATTATTTCTATATCTCTAACTCTAGACTCTTTCACTATCCCTTTACCTGCCGACGTCCCCAACGTCTTCTTGCACAAAATCCCCATGACCAGCTCGCCGTGCTCCACCATGACCTTGGTATCCCCGGGGGATATCCACTTGTACGGTCCCTCGTCCTCGTCGTCGGGGTGCGTAGAATGCGTCCTGATCATGTTCACGTTACCTAGTTGAAAACAGTGAATAATCAGACAGACTCATATCTGGTATGAGATTATTCATGTGTTATCAAATTAAATTATAATTATTATTGAAATGAACAACAGATTCAAAAATAATAATAATAAAACAAAAAGCTCATGAACAGTACATTATGACATGATGAAATAAATTAGTGAATGAGAAATCATTCAGACAGGTTTGATTTTCTCTTTGCAAGAGGATAATTATGTTTGTTGACTTTAATTTTGAATTGGGTGATATTTGTGCAACTTTTGATATCATCAGGTGATTTATTAAACTATTTTTGGCCAAGTGTAGAATTAGCAGCATCAAGATGAAACAAGTCATATTGTCTAGTATGATGTTCATGGATTTGAGAATTCCTCACCAATATGAAGTTAGATTTGATGATAATATCAAAAGAAATTTTGAGAGTATTCATCAGATAGTGAGTGCTCTTCCAAAGAAAATGTATTTGTTTCTTCATAGAGTTGATTTGATGAGTTGTCATATGGAAGACGATACAGTACTTTTAATGCTTTTTTATGTAGTACAGATATTTTGTTAAAATTATTCTTGGAACATGAACCCCAAATATTTATGAGATAGTTCATTTTACTAAGGATGTGAGAGTATAGAACGGTATTTACTATATTTGGGATAAGTTTTGGACATCTTCTTAGGGCACCAACTATGGGAGACATTTTTTCTTTGAGCATACCAATATGGTTGTCCCATGTTTAACTTTTCATCAATCCAAATACCAAGGTATTTGGTATAGGCAGTTTGTTTCAATCTTTAATTTTTTATTCTAATAATTAAATCAATACTTTGTTCATTTCTTTGATGGAAAATTATATATTGGGTCTTATTAGAATTAAGGGAAAGAAGATTGGAGTATAGCCATTCTTCCATTTTCTTCAAATCCTCATTTATGTTGTTTTCTAAAATTACAGGGTTTTTGTTTTTAAATAAAAGTACTGTGTCATCTGCATATATGGCAAGTTATGTTAGCATCTTCAGGAGATTGCATTCAATTTTCTAACATTATTAACTTGCTCAACTAATTTGAGGTTATTAATATGTGTTATGATTGTGATTGAACAGTCTAACCTACCTCAAATGTGCTAAGTGTTCTTTGAATCTTGTTTTTATAGGACGCCTGGTTTGGCATATATATGTTTTATCACAATCACACCTTATCTATTGGATTACCTAATAAACTGCCAAACTTTGACCCAGACTGATAAACGCTTTCAAAACCTAAGTCTTTGAAAATCTTATCAAGTCCTCTTGTGTACTTGGTATTGAAAGGGATTGGGATTTTTCTCCAATTGTTTTTATCCCGCTTGAAAAGTCGTAGAATTCCTGAGTGATAACTCAAATTTATGTCTACGTATTGATTTATCTACTATTATGATATCATAACCATTGACGCCAGCCACTTCATACACAACACTCCTCTCAACATCAAATCTTTGTTTACTCAGAGGAAATGAAACTAGTCTATGTACTAGGAAGTTTAAACTTGCCATTTTGTGTTGAAAACAGTGATTTGAGTCATTAGTTATGTATCTAAGTGTCTTAGTTTCTTTCCCAAAAACATCAAATTCTAAATTGTGTTCGTCATTTTTGATCACAAGAACATCTGAGAATGGTAATTGACCGTTGTTTTCGCATTCAAAAGTGAATTTGATAAAGGGGAAGCAATTGTTCAATTGTGTCAGTCTTGGATATATTCGATAAATCAAAAACGTGTATTTTGAAATGAGTACTCAAAGATATTTACCGGGTATGATCAGCGAGAAGATCTGCTTGCCCGTCCACAGCGGTTTCGGCTTGAGGATGGCAGGTCGCGGCATCTTGCCGTCCCATATGGGCAAGAACATGAGCAGGTTCATCATCTGCTCCTTTTCGATGAAGACGTCGCGTTTGGTCATCTTCCTGACGGCGGTTAGAGTGTCCTGCACGATACCCATGACGGGTTTGTTGGCCTGCGGCGTGATGATCTGGCGGGGGGTGATGTGCAGGTTTTCCACCTAGTAGACGAGAAAAACGAGATTGTGAAATTTTTGAAATTTTCAATCGGAAAAGTATACTTGGCAATCAACCGAATTTTGCTACTTTGAAAATTGAACAATCGATGTTTGATCCGTTAAAATATGTGGATTGGAATAGTACAAGATTTCTCAACTGATAATATAGAAACAAAATGAACAAACTCAAAAGTATCAATGTGAAAATCTTCATAATGAAAATCTGAAGTAAATTATTATTGACTCGTGCAATCTACTATTATCGACCTCCCATTACGGAAAAAAATCGTGTCCACCTAGTATTGCTGCATCCAATTATATCTGGACAATTATTCTTTCTACCTAGAAATAGTACCTACCTGAATGGAAACGTAAGTATATTTTATGTTTTGCATATCTATTGAAAATATTCTGATATCTTGAATAAACTTAGGATAATTTGATTGTTTTTTTTTTCTGTTCTCTCAAAGTATTATGCGCTGTTGCTAGATATGACATGCTACTTTTCTAGAAAATAATTTTGTTTTATGAAGGAATGAATTCATTTGCAAAAATAATATTTTGTCGCACTTTTTACGGAAGCACCCCCCTATCTTACGTAATTGCCTTTATCTTCGACTTTTCCTTCCTCCTGCAAATTTCAAAACCCTACCTCAATAATGGGCTTATATCACAAAAAATTTTTATGTCATAATTTGATAGAACTCACCCAAACTAGCTCACCACCGCAAACCGTTTCTTGCTGTGAGCTCCCTACGTTTTATAAAAAATTATTGAAATACCCGATTTTTCGGACCTCTGAAAACGAGGCGATGATGTGACGTCAAAACCCAAATACTGAAACAAGACTATTCCAGACAGAGATGAATGATACATGATTTCTGACAGAGTGAATTAGCGCGAGATCACAGTTGAAAGAATTAATATATCAGTTGCCTCAGTCTCCGTCGGGCGTTTGGATTTTTTTTTAACTATGGCGAGATGAGGTTTCTACATCATAAGAGGGTCCGTTTTCAGAAGGTACTATTATTTATGTCTAAAAATTAAACATTTCAGTTAATTTTTTGATCGAATTATGTCGTCAATCATTATTTATGTATAAAAGGATCATTATAAACATGGTTTGAGTTAAAAGTTTTACGAAGGTGTACACGCCCATTACGTGAGATACGGGGGTGCTTCCATGAGAAGTGAGACAAAATTTAATTTTTCTGAACTGAAAATTTTCCAGAAAAAATATGAATAGTTAGTAAACAGAAAAAAAAATTGGGCGCCCTGATTCCGAATCTGAAGTGATTTTTGACCTATCTCGACTCCTAATATCATTTTCCGGAAATTGGAGTGGTTCAAGGGCTGTTGGCGAGCAGTGTATATCACTGAAGATGACAGATACAGGGATGTATCTATTAGAAGTCACACTGTATATGAAGAAATACATTGAGAATTCGCATTCTCAATGTGATGAAAATATCAATTATTCCTCGGTCTATTCAACAAAAAACAACTACTTTCCTGGCTATATGCCACGACGAACATTGAATTACATCTATTGAACATACACGATAAGAATTTGAAAACAAAATCTTCTGAAGTAGAGAATTTGCATTCTCCCTCACATAAAGATATGCACATAATATCATTCTGATTATTCAACAGAAAACAACTACTTTCCTGGCTATTTGCCACGTCGAACATTGAATTATTTCTGTTGAACATCCAAAAAGAGAGCATGAAAAATGAAAATTCTCTGAAATTGAGAATTGACATCATTTCTCAAATTGGATAAAATAATATGATGTATTATGATATAAAAATTCAACTTACCAATATGTTCAGTATTGAAATGAAAATTGAAATGTACATGAGAAGTATACTTGTATAAACTCTGATCTTGATGAGCTTGGAACTTCCAAAAAAATCATTCGTACCAGTGATATGGGAATTATATCAAAGACAGGTTATATGACTCCACTCGAATAAATTCATTTCGGATATCAAATCCTCATCAGTAACCTAAAGTCCAGTTATTCTTTCAGCCACTCTTCATGTGTATGTTCGATAGATGTAATTCAATGTTCGTCGTGGTATAAAGCCAGGAAAGTAGTTGTGTTCTGTTGAATAAACCGAGAGAGTTGATACTTTCATCACATAGAGAATGCGCATTCTCAATGCATTTCTTTAAACATAATATATATATCCTTTTTTTAAAATGTTCATAATAATTATATCTCATAATATTCTTTTTCAATACTTTCACCCAATTTTTTTATAGACCTCAATCGCAGATTCGTTATTAGGTTTTCTCAATTCAGAATTTTCTTTCCACGTCCTGTATGATGAATATCAATTTATCATACATCCAAAAAACAAATACCCTGTAGTGTTTCAGTTACTTTTTTCATTCGCTTGTTACAAAATCCAGAATCGTAATAAAATTATGCATCGTATGTTTCAAGACTTGAAATGACCCTGTATTATATAGTACATTTTTTCTCACCCCCTATTTCCGACATCTTATTCGAGCCATAGATAAAATTTCATCGTTCACGAATTAATCGGTTAGAAGGATGACGTAACGAATTAGTCATTTAGAATGATAAATCGAACCAATCAGTAGTCTCGTTCTAGATTCCATCGGGTACGGTCGATTCAAGTGAAGTGATATAGAAAGAACTCGAATTATTTAAAAGTGGAAAATTGAAATTTATCTTCAGTTTAGTGAGTGTGTTTTCATTTGAGTGTGTGAAATTTGTTTTTTTTAAGATGGTGAGTGTTTTTGTATATGATTATGGAAGTATTCACGTGGTTGAGATTTTGCTTCGGTATATTGGTATATTTCCATATTATAATTGAAAAATTTGAAATTCGCTTCTTTTCTTTACTTATATACAGTGGAACTAGATGGATAAATGCGGCAAATTACGAAAATTTTTGCCATTTTTTTGAAATTTCGTATTGTTCTAGGATGAAATAATTCGCTTTGTTTACTTACACAGAGGTACAAAAAATTGGTAGTGAAATGAGTTACAAAATTATTCGTCATTTTGAAAAGACCTCATAGGCAGTGTTCTGTTGAATAAACCGAGAGAGTTGATATCTTCATCACATACGAGAATGCGCATTCTCAATGCATTTCTTTATATTTAATATAAAATATATATCCTTTTTTTTTAAATGTTCATAATATGTAATTGTGTCTCATATTATTTTTCAATACTTTCACCCAATATTTTTATAGACCTCAATCGCAGATTCGTTATTAGGTTTTCTCAATTCAGAATTTTCTTTCCACTTCCTGTATGATGAATATCAATTTATCATACATCCAAAAAACAAATACCCTGTAGTGTTTCAGTTACTTTTTTCATTGGCTTGTTTCAAAATCCAGAATCGAAATAAAATTATGCATCGTATGTTTCAAGACTTGAAATGACCCTGTATTATTTTTTACTATACATAAATATAAAATATTAGTTATTTATTATACAAGGGAAAAAAGTAGTAGATTTTAGCTCCAGGTTGTGTTGTCTCCCGACGCGTAGCGGAGGGAGACAAAAAACCGTGAGCTAAAATCTAATATTTTTCCCGTGTATAATACACTATTTTTTTCTGTGACAGAAGGAAGGACGAATCAATATTGAGAAGATATTACATTATTTCGAAATCTGAAAATTAGCGACGTGAAATTTCAAGTTTTTAACAGTAGGGACACCTGCGTTTTATAGACATCTTTATCATTCTTTTGAAGTAATCAAATATCTGATGTCACTTCTGTCAGTTCAATTTTGTGATTTGATTTTGAAAAATTGCGAATTCAGTAGTTGTTTAGTAATATACGAAACCGCGAAGTTGAATGGAAGATAAAAGGACTTGCAGTTCTTTCTCGGAGACGGTATTATTGACTCATTTTTCGGAACTATAGCACAACAAAAGCCATTAACAGAGTATATATATATGTGATATATATCCGGGAAAGAAGTACTCACTTTTTTCCCACGGGAAAAAAGTAATTTATGAAAAGTGACATTTTATAACCTGCCAACAGAGATGAAATGCCAAACTTTTTTCCCGTCACAGAAAAAAATACATTTTTTCTCACCCACTATTTCCGACATCTTATTCGAGCCATAGATAGATAAAATTTCATCGTTCACGAATTAATCGGTTAGAAGGATGACGTAACGAATTAGTCATTTAGAATGATGAATCGAACCAATCAGTAGTCTCGTTCTAGATTCCATCGGGTACGGTCGATTCAAGTGAAGTGATATAGAAAGAACTCGAATTATTCAAAAGTGGAAAATTGAAATTAATCTTCAGTTTAGTGAGTGTGTTTGAGTGTGTGGAATTTGTGTTTTTTTTAAGATGGTGAGTGTTTTTGTATATGATTATGGAAGTATTCACGTGGTTGAGATTTTGCTTCGGCATATTGGTATATTTCCATATTATAATTGAAAAATTTGAAATTCGCTTCTTTTATATACTTATATACAGAGGAACTAGATGGATGAATGCGGAAAATTGCGAAAATATTTGCCATTTTGTTAAGAGTTAACACCAGTATTTTGAAATTTCGTATTTTTCTAGGATGAAATAATTCGCGTTGTTTACTTACACAGAGGTACAAAAAATTAGTAGTGAAATGAGTTACAAAATTATTCGTCATTTTGAAAAGACCTCATAGGCAGTGCTTATACAGGGTGATCCACGGTGGATGGCCTATTAGAAGTATCTGGAGAACGAAAAGACAGAGCATTCTGAAAATTGGGATGCCTTGATAATTGAACATTCTCTATCCGTCTAAAATATTTTCATCGATACAGTGTTGCCACTTCTATCAGAAACAACTAGAAACTTCGTTATTTTGAATGGAACACCCTGTATTTTATTGCATTTTTAGATCCTCCCTGAAGAGCTGATTTCATCAATGCATCACACTTGCGATCTAGCAGGAATGATTACAGAGACATAGGGTGTTCTAAATCGATATTTTTCAATTTTAG